GCCTTATATTTCAAATCCTTTTTATAAGTTTTTTAATTATATAATTAAGGTACTTATTTATAAAATATAAATTTTATATATTATAAGTTAGCAGGGTAAAGTATATATAATTTAATAATTGAAAATATTATTTTATTAATATTTTATAATTTAATAAGGTATTAGCTTAATAAAGCTCTTATAAAAATTTAATATATCTTAATTAAAATTAACTTAATTAAATCTTATTTAATAATTATTAATAAATAAATATATCTTTATAATAAATTAGCTAGCGTAATTAATAATAATAAGCGTATTTTTTAACTAGCTTTAAATTTATAAAGCATTAAGTTTAAAGATTATCTTAAAATATCTTTAAGAAAGTTAAACTTATTATTTAAGCCTTTAAGATTTAAATATTAATTTTAATTATTACTTATTTTTTAGCTAATTTAAATTAAAGATTTTATAGCTTTAATAAATTATATATATTAAAATAACGATTATATAAGAGCTGTTAAGTAATAAACGCTGCCGCGATATTTATTAAGTGCCGCTTTTTTTTAATTATAAAGATTAAAAAGATATTTACTCTTTTAAATATTACGGCTTATAGCTTAAATAACTATAAAAAATTCTTTATTAAATAGAAATTAAGAAGTAGTAATAAGAATATTAAGAAAAATTATATATTAAGTTTATATTTTATTTATAATATATTTATTATAAATTTATAATAAGCCTTGCCTTTTCTTATTTAATTAAAAGGGCTTAAGTTAATGCTTACCTAATTTATTAATTGCTAAGAATCCTGCAACTTAATTTATAAATATTAAGATATCATAGCAATAATAATCATAATTTACTCAATCCTTTTATAAGGCAATTATATAGTTAAAACATGTAATTATAGCTATTATTTTAATGGCTGGCAAAGATATAAAATTTAATGCCCCTGTAAATTCCAGGGGAATACATAGGGAATCTACTTATATATATATATATATAGTAAATTTATAGTAAATTCACCATGAATTTATTGTAAATATTAATATTTACGGTAAATTCACCATAAAAGTGCCGTGAATTTATAATTCCCCGTGAATTTACGGTGAATTCACCTAGAATCCACCATTGCCCATTTATATTATATTACTTTATTTAAAAAAGATAAAATTCTTTTAATTATTAAAATAATTTAAAAATTTAAAAAAAATAATATAAAATCTTTATTTATAATTTAAGCTATTAAAATCTTTTATATTTTTAAAATTATACTTTATTATAAAATAAATTAATAATGCTTTTATAAAAAATTATGCATTAATATATATAAACTTAATTAAATTAAAAAGTAAATATTTATTTAATATATTATTAAGTAAAATATTTAAAAGTTTTCCTTATAATTTTTTAATATAAAAAATATAATTAACCTTTTATTAATATTATATAATATTAAACTTATTAATAAGCATTAAGCTTAATATTTTATAAATTTATAACTTACTTTTAAAATTAAGTTTAATTATTTTTATAATTATTAAAAAGCTTTTTATAAAAATTTAAAGATTATTATAAATTAATTTAAATTACTTTATAATATAATAATTAAATATAAAATTATAAATAATAATATTTATAATTTTAATAAAATTAACTTTATAATAAATATAATTATTATATTAATAATAATTATATATATTAATAAATATAAAAAAGCTAAATTAATTTAATTTAATAATTAAAAATAAGTTATAATGATTAAATATATTAATATAAAAAGTTAATATATTTTATTATTTATAATTATTTAAAGTATTTATTATTTTATAAGTTAAATTATAAAGTTAGGTTTCTTAATTAATTAAGTTATTAAATTTACTTTAAATAAATAAATAAATAATAAAATTAATTTAAAATAAATTTAATATTTTAATAAATATATTAAGTAATAAATAAAAAGTATATATTAAATATTAATATTAAATAATTATAAAAGTTATATATTAATTAAGTTTAATTAATATTATAAGAATAATAATATTATTTTTATTAATATATTATTATATTCTTTTTATTTATTTTAATTATTAAATATTATATTATACTTATTTTTAAAATATATATATAATAATTAAATTAATTTCTTTATTTAAGTATTTATTAAATATATTATTAAGTTTAAGTTTTTTTTTATATTTATAATAGCTTATAATAAAATCTTTATAAAGAATAATATTAAGGCAGTATTTAAAAAAGCTAAAATCTTACCTTAAGATTTAAATTTTATTATTTTTAAGCTTAATATATGCTTATAAATTCTTATATAAATTCTTTTTATTTCTTCTTAATATTAAAAGTTTTAAATATTATTTAATACTTAATAAATTATTAAGTAATTAAACTTTATTAAAAGCAAGATCTTTATTTATTAAAAAAGCTTTCTTATATTAATTATAAAGGCTATTAATTAAATAATAAAAAATATATAAATAATAATATATAAACTTATTATTTTAAAGAATTAAGTTTATATTCTTAAGGATATTAATATAATATTTATTAAATATTAAAGAATTAAAAAAACTTAAGTATAGCTTAAAGAAATATTTATTATTAAAAAACTTTAAGCTTTTATTTAAGAAAAATAAAAGGGAAAGTAATTAATTAATAAAATAAATAATAATATTAAGGAAGTAATTTATAATAAATTAATTAAATAATAATATAATAATTATAATAAGATTAAATATAATATAAAAACTTATAAAAAAGATAAAAAAGAATTAAATTAATTAAATTTTAATTATATTATAATAAATTTAGCTTAATTAACATTAAATAATATAAATATATTTATTTTAATAATTTATAATAAATTATATTTTTAATAATATAATTAGCATTATTTAATATAAAATATAAGTTTCTTATTAAAAGTTGCTTATTTTAAACTTATATTATATTTATATTAATTACTTTAAATTAATTAAATTAATTAAAAATAAAGAATTTAAAGTAATTAGCATTAATTAATGCTAACTTTTTATTTATTTATTAACTTTAAAATAATGTTAATATTAGCTAAAGTTAAGTAAAGTTATAAAAATCCGCTATTTATTAATATTTATTACTTATTAATAAACTACATTATATATATATATATAATATATAAATATATAGTTATAACTTTATAAACAAGGCTAATTAATTAAATAATTCCTTAATATCAATGGAAGAGGGTTCTTACATCATTATAATGGGAAACTAAGGTTGGAAATAATGGCATTTATGGGTAGCGAGGGCGGTCCAAATCAGGGGTGGTCCAAATCGGGTAAGGGGATGTTAAATGGTCGTCAGGAGTAGCTCATTTTTGTTAATTGAATCAGGTCCCATGCACAGTGGGACGTTAACGATTTTGACTGCTTGTGTCAAAATAACCCGAGTCATGCATACTCGCACAAGTAAATAACCCCTGCGCTCATCCAAACCGAAGTTCATCCAAGCAATGCGAAAAGCAGGGGCTCAATAGTCTTATCTCTACTGCACGGCATGCATCTCACACCCCCCTGCCCTGCGCTGCCACCCTGCCACCTTGTTGGGTTCACACTAGCCGCATGAAGCAGCTGTGTGGGACCGATGATACCCGCCGCCAGACCGAGCGACGGGCCCCGATGCTGCGGTTTGCAAACATTGCGCCGCCGCCGCAGGCCCTTAGCCGCCGGTTGTTTGTCACTTTTCCAAGCCTCGTTAAAGTGCCCAGGCGGCGAAGACCATATCTGTTAAGCAGCTCAGCCCCGAGTTGAAGAGAGCTTTTCCTTGGTAGCGCCACTGCGACTTTGAGATATTTTCATGTCCTCAAAAATCGTGACCGGCCCAGTTATCACGCTCGCCCTCACCGCAGATCACTGAGACCTAATCGAGAAGGTGGTCGGGAAGGACCCGCTTTGCCGAACTTGAAGGCTTGATATCAGACGACTCCCATTCGTACTAGCATAGTCCCTGCCCCTGTTCCTGTTCGCGTCTACAACGTAGTACTTCCGCCACGATTCTATCACGCCATTAACATCTTCACGATAATCGCCCAGTCGCCGACTCGCCGCACCGTTCATCTCTGGTCTTTTCTTGTCCAGGGGAACTTCAACAAGCCTTCCCGGCATGCGGCGCCACTGCGATTCTTCTGCAGTGCAACGCCCCCGCCAAGATGCCCCGCCTGTGTAATACTCGTCCAGTGTATTGTGCGCAGCCTATGTACATGATATGACTGATTAGATTGTATCAGGATCTTGTACACGTTCGACCAGCACAAACATATGTTGTGAACCCACCTACTGTACAGTATCCGTACAGGGTCTTCCCTTAATCTTTATCCATGTAGGTACGACGTACCCGCATATAATGTAACCCTGCCAACCAATCAAAAGGCCTTAATTTCGGCTTAGTAACTGCATATCGGCACCCTGATATGCATTTATATCTCTGCTAAAATTAAAAGGTATAGCATAACTACCTTGCCTAACCTCACACTACCCCACCCTATAGCTATTGCTAGCTAACAGCCAGCTAGCCGTTTAATTTTATAAAGCTCTTAAATAACTTATTTTATAATTAAAAAAAGAAGAAAAAGTTAATGCTACTAAGGATTAAATTATAAGCACTTTTTATTTAAATAAGTTAAAATTATTAATTGCAAATAATATATTAAGATAAAGATATAATATTATAATTAAAAAACCTTAAAATATAAGCAGGCTTCCTAGTAAATACTAATACCTTTATTATGGACAGGCATGCGCAGCTATTAGTCCAAATTAACTCAGGGGACCCCTCGCCAACCGCTAGAAGTCACGAATTAGCCTTCTTTAAGGGAAAACCCTGTACTAGCAGCACTCTGGCCGGGCAATCCCTTGTGGCTATCTGCCATGCCTCCATTAACAGACAAATGGTAACGGAAATATGGTGGGTATCATCCTCGCCCGTTGGCTCCACTTTGATGCACCCGGTTGGCGGTCACGATGGCACCTCGCATCGCACCCGCAGGGTTCCATCTGCACCTCCTTCTGGAAGGTTTTGTGCCGACGCTCGGGGCGACTTTCCTGTTCCTGGGTCTATCATTCATGTTCCTCGCCCTGCTGATACGTTGCGACGCGTCCTGGGTCTGTGAGCTTCGCGTCCTATTTAATAGCTGTGGTGGTCCACCCTTTCTCCTTCCCGAGCTCTCTCTTCTCCCTCACCCCCGTCTCTCCTTGTCAGTCAGTCAGTCGTTCTCATCTGGTTCTGCCAAGTCGACGACGCCAAGATGAAGGTGTCAGCTCTCCTCACCACCGGCGGCGCCCTGCTCGCCACCGGCGTCTCAGCCATCAAGCCCGTCAACTTTATGCACCTGGTGCCTCCTCCTCTGGATATCGCCGATACCGAGTTCGCCTCCAGCCTCGTCCAGAGGCGCGACACCAACTCCTCGGCCACCGTGGGAAACGGCACCTTCCAGCAGATCCTCGACCACTCGGACCCCTCCAAGGGCACCTTCAGCCAGTCCTTCTGGTGGAGCACCCAGTACTGGCAGGGACCCGGCTCACCAGTCGTCTTCTTCACTCCGGGCGAGGTCGCAGCCGCAGGATACACCGGATACCTGACGAATAGGACCCTCACCGGTACCCTGGCACAGGAGCTCGGCGCGGCCGCGGTCATCCTCGAGCACCGGTACTGGGGCGAGTCGAGCCCGTTCGACGAGCTGACCACCGAGAACCTGCAATATCTGACCTTGGAGAACTCCATCTACGATACGACGTATTTCGCCAAGAATGTCAAGTTTCCCTTCGTCACCAACGCCAGCAGCAATGCCGACAGCGTGCCTTGGGTGTTCTCCGGCGGCAGCTACAGCGGTGCCCTCGCGGCGTGGGTCGAGAGCGTTGACCCGGGCACGTTCTGGGCCTACCACGCCTCCAGCGCTGTGGTTGAGGTCATTTACGATTTTGTAAGTACTATTCGTAAATTCAGCGTACATCTATGGAACCCAGGTGTGTGACAAAAAACTAACACTGTTTCGTGAACAGTGGCAATACTTCGCGCCCGTGCAGGAGGGCATGCCCGCCAACTGCAGCGCGGACGTGTCCAAGGTCATCGAGCACGTCGACAGCATCCTGCTGGGCGACGACGACGAGGCGAAGCAGGCCCTCAAGGAGAAGTTCGGCCTCGGCGCTGTCGAGCACGACGATGACTTTGCTAGCGCTCTGGAAAATGGGCCTTGGCAGTGGCAGATTCACGACTTTAACTCTAACTACTCTTCCTTCTGTATGCCGGCCCCAGTGGTTCCCGAAGTTGGGAATTGTTGTGAAAGCATTCCTGTAAATCTTTGCTAACCATCGTTTGGACAGTCCAATTCTGCGACACTATTGAGAACGTCGGCCCTCTGTATCCCAACTCCACTGTTGTCCCCGGAGCCGAGGGCGTCGGCTTAGAGAAGGCTCTAGAGGGATACGCCAACTGGGTCAAGAAGGAACTGATCCCTGGATGTAAGTCATTCGTGAGCGCAGTCATTTTATTTGAGATGTGTTACTAAATATTCGTTTCTTGTTAATAGACTGCGCTGGATATGGCTACGATGAGTGGTCGGACGACGACAGCCTCGGGTGCTTCGACTCGTACAACGAGACCAGCCCAATCTACACCGATGTGACCGTCAGCAACCCTACTAGTATTGACCGCCAATGGACATGGATGCTCTGCAACGACCCGTAAGTCTCAAACTTGCCCAATCTGTCAACTCTCAGCTAACTTGGCCACCCAAGCTTCGCCTACTGGCAAGACGGCGCTTCCGAGGGCACGCCGACTATCGTCTCCCGGCTCGTGACGGCAGAGTACTGGCAGCAGCAATGCGCGCTCTACTTCCCTCCTCCAGGGACCTACGGCAGCGCGGAGGGCAAGACGGTAGAGGACACCAACGCCTACACGGGCGGGTGGGACCGCGCAGGGAACACGACGCGCCTGATCTTTGTCAACGGCCAGTGGGACCCCTGGAAGGACGCCACAGTTTCGAGCGAGTTCCGGCCCGATGGACCGTATGAGGGCACCAAGGACGCACCAGTGCTGGTCATCCCTGGAGGTATCCACTGCAGCGACTTGTCGATGACGAATGGCAGGGTCAACGCTGGTGTCAAGGCTGTGCAAGATGCTGTCATTGACCAGATTGTAGAGTGGGTTGGGGAGTTTGATCCTGAGGAGGGCAAGGCTGAGCAGGTGGCTTTGAGGAAGCGGTCATGATTGAATGTATCCAGTCCCTCAATACACAAAGTGTTGTGCATGTTTCTGGATGACTCACGAATTGTGCCTCACCGTGCTGAAAGAATTCTTGGTCCCGCTAATTCGTAATTGAGACTAGTCCAGATTTCTTGAATTGCTTGGTCTAGTTTAGGTATTTGCTCACAGACGACTCAAGATGTGCATCCACGAACTTGATCCAGATTGCACCTGACATACTCTGACTCACTGAGAGGCGCAAGCTTTGGGCTATTGACGTCATGACTGGTTCACGGCAGAGCCCCACGTGAATCAACAAACAAACGATATGCTTTTGGCGTGTCTATAAAAATGCACAGACCCATGAGGTTTGGGCATCCATGAGATGCGACTACCCGGTCCTTTCCCGGTGTTAGCATCGTTCTCTCAGTGAACTAGGTAGAGTCTGGATGACATTCATTAGAACCCATACATACATTCCAAGTAAAATCAATAGAAAACTTTTGAACAGAATTGCCAAAGTAATGATATGCTTGATGCCAGCTCCTGGAAGAAGACACTCATCCATCTCACGTTGGCACCAGGCATGTGCACATATACACTCATATCAAAGCGTTTGCAATTTTACCGTGAGACTATGGTCCAAGAAGGGTACCAGCATAACTTAGGGAGTGTCTCAGCCCCGTACAACGGGTGGCTGATTCTCAGACAGACATTCTAAGCCAACTTCTTCATGCCCAACAGTCAATCTCCCAGCTTGAGTGAGAATTCCTGTAGTACCTGGATACGGTGAATAGTCTCAATCACCCATCCGTCTTCACCCATCCGGTCTTCACCCATCCATTTTCACCCGTCCGTCCAGTCACAGACCCTTTGGACGACTATTTATACCGTAGGATGCAAGCCATCCGGCCTGATCTCTTCCTTTCCTTTCCCTTTCTGTAGTCTCAATACAGCCATTGTTTGCCTGTTTCCCCCGCTCAGCACAACACTTCCCTTCTCGCATTGCCCTTTCACAACTATCTCAGCGATTCGAAAGTATCAATTCAGGATCACAAGAGTTGCTCACAATTGGTTGCCCAATTTTGCCTCCGTCCTCTGAGAAACTGTCTAACGACAGAAGCAAACCCATTCCACAACACGCACGACACAAGCACCACGGAATTCCTCCTGTCTTGCCCAAATACCGGCAATCAAGATGTCTGAGCATTCAACGCCGTCCTCTGTGGACCGCCAGGAAATACCTCGATATCCTGGCGAGAAGCCCATGCCTCCAAGAACACCAAGCAATGATGAGGCCGCGCTATACATTGCGAAGCTAGCAATTCAAGCCAAGGACAGGCTCAAGAACAAGAGAAACTCAAAGTCAAAGAAAACCAGTGATGACTGTGCTGATCAGAAACAAGAGGAGGCACAGCCTGTCAATGTCGAGACGGACCCACAGCCAGAGGATCCCCAGATCGAGGCTGCAACGATCCCCGGAGCACAGAGTTGTGCAGACTCTCCACACGAAACTTCACAGTCAGGCCAGGAGAGCACCGAATCTCCTATCCCTTGGCCGGATATGCCATTTGCGTACGGAGACTTTTCAACGCTCAGACTTCCACTGAAGTCGATGTACGATGGAAGTGGACAGTGGCCGAAGAGAACCCGTCATGGTGGAAAGAAATACAGCTGGAGCAACATTGGATTTCCCCGGGACGATTCCCTGCTTGTCCCTGACTTCGAGGAAAACACCCACATCGATAAAGACGAGCCGTACACCATGGAGTTGGCTACGGATGTCAACAACATTCGTTACAAGGATCCAAAAGAGATTGCTGATGGAGCCGTCGAGTCTCTCCAAGAGAAGAACCGTACCATCGAAACCTTCACCGTCCACGGTCGTACTGTTTGCCGAGTCAAGTTCAGCGACGTCAATGCCTTTGGCAAGGGATCCCCGTACAGCTTGTCCACAATGTCCAAGTCGATTGAACAGAAGATCAACGAGGATTTCCGTGTGCCGCCCAACCTTCAAATTGAGCGTTGGGTGATGGCTCACGTCCTGCTATCCATGGGTGGAGAGATTGGTGGCAGAACTGATGACTACTGGAGCCGAGCTCGTAGTCTCGCACAACAACAGCTCTATGTCAACCCCGGTCTTGAGGTCGAAGCCAGACAGCAGATGGAGGCGGGTGACCACGAGAAGGACCCGGCATTTTCAAAGATGTTGGCGCTTGTGAAGAAGGGCTGTCCTATGAAAGCATACAACCTCTATCACCAGGCCCAGAGAAACGACTACGCCACGGAGAACGGTCTGCTCTACAAGGTAGAGAATACGGACATAATCCTGGTCTTGGACCAGTCCGACAATATGATCCTGTTCCAGTGCGGTGACGTCTTCAAGCAGCTCCTTACAAAGGCTGTCCAGAAGCTCGCTGCTCAATCGTTTGAGACGTACAGCACCCTTACTCCGATACCATGGCCAGATATGACTCGACACGGCCTCCATTGGATCTCGTTCCTTTCCGAGAGACCGGACCTGGACTTCCGAAACCAAGACAACGATCCACGTCTGGCGAAGTCAGGTAATACACCATCCCCTGAAATATACTGTTCATATCTAGCTAATCAATGCCTTTCAGGTGTCTTCCACATCGGAGCTCGCTGCGAGATCGGTGACCCGGATGGTCAGAAACTCCCAGGTCCCACCAAAGACAACGCCGGAAGAAGAGTGTCTCTTCGCGGTCACGTCTTTCACCAGCTAGTGAAGTTGCGCTACAGTGCCTTCGGGGCATGCACCGAGATGTCCAAGTTCTTCTTCCAAATCCTCGAGCCAACCCTCATGCAGCAATACATCCGTGTTGCGGACGAGGTCGCCAAGCTGGGAGTTCCATTCCAGACCAGACGCTCGGGCGAGCCCTTCTCGATGCGGGCTCTGCTGGTCAACCTGATGACGTACGAGCACCAGGATACTGGAGACTGGCACCATGGATATGCGTTCCTTCTGCCCGTCGGCGACTTCACAGGCGGAGACCTCGTCTTGCGGGAGCTGGGTTTGCAGATCGAGGCTCCGTCGGGCTGTCTGCAGATGCTCCGGGGCCGTGAGCTCAGGCACTCCATCACCAAGTGGAGTGGACGGCGCTTCGTTTGCGTCAACGTCACCCACGAGTCTGTCCGGAGGTGGGCACTCCGCTCGCTAGGTGAGGAGGTTAATGAAGAGAAAACCTCCCGCACCCATTCGATCTTGTCAGATTGCATCGATAAGGAGCCGGAGGATGTTGTGCCGGAGGACCAGCGAGAGGAGGAGATGTCTCACTGGTTGCCCGAGAGTGAGGATGAGCTTGGGGAATCGGTTCACGGTGGCTCTGAGGCATCACTGCCATCGGAACCTGAGCGAGAGCGCCCGTCCAAGTCCAAGCACAGGGCTGCCAGCTCTTCCGACGCCTCCGCGGAGGCTAGCGACCAGAACGCGGGAAATGCGAAGCGTCAGAAGAAGGCTTGAGGTGGTATTGAGCTTGACATCCAGTGGATCGGAGTGGCGACTGAAGAAGTAATGGTGGGATGTGCACAGCTACTCATGCATCGGGCTGAGACCGAACATGTTGAGAGATGGAATGCCGTCAACACGGAGATGATATGAGATGGCTTAATAGTAGATGCGTGCCATCGGGGGATCATCGCGTCTGTGTCACATACATAATCAGGTATCTCCAGGTATTGTGACCAGCTGCTCCTCATCCAGCTCGTCGACTAGTCAAAGTGTATTTTAGACAACCACAAGCAGAAGAAAATCATCATGAATGAGAAGATCGTGAAACTCGCAGAACACTGCGAAAACCCGTATTGCTGCAGACCACTTCACGATGTCTCTGTATCTGTACAGCCTGTGCTAGTATGCTACCACAAAGCTATTACGCTAACTGCAGGTCCGTCCCATGTAGTCAATCCCGAGTAATCAGTCCAAAGTAATCACTCCCGTGTAATCATGTGAACGAGAAATCTATATCGTAGCTGTCTACTCGTCCGACGTATAATACTTACTAGCGATAGGCTGCTGTATCTGATTAGAGTCAACGGGAATCAAGCGTCTCGACTTCTCCTTGAACTCCTCAAATCCTTTATACCACGCCTCATCCACACCCTTCATAGGCTCAACACCCATCTCATCAACCCCCTCGTTCACCCAAGCCAGAATCTCTTCCATGTACGGAACTTGATTCTGGATCAGGCTGTGGAACGCCTTGCCCTTGTCCCCCTTAGCTTTACGGGCGGCGTACTCGGCTCGCATAGCCTCGTCTGACGGCAGCTTGGCGAGGCCCGCGTACACGCGGGCCACCACCTCAGCCTGGAACTCGAACATGGAGAATGTGGAGGTGTAGTATGGCACACCAACGAACGTCAGGGTCGGGTCAGGCATGTAGAACTTGGGGATGAATGGAGTCAGCATGGAAATCCGGAAAGAGGACTAAACGGCGCTTATGGGTACTAACGATGTCTTTGTGCAGATTATGTGTGACACACTTGTCTGCTGTGATGATGATACTCTCATCCGCGTCGTCGGCAGCTATACTCTCAGATTCGAGCCCGGTGAGAAAGGGATATGTAGTCTGGTAGCCCGAGGCAATGATAACATGGTGGATATCTTGGAGAACCCGTCCATCAGCCAGATGCACTGTCCCTGGGATCGGTGCGCCAGGTGTCTCCGATCCATCGGAGATGCTCTTTCCCTCGTCGAGCTTGAATGACTTCAGACCCGCCACGCGCTCCGAGTTGGCAGGCAGGAAGGACTTGTCGAGGTCGAATTTGCCGCCGCGGGAGGACTGGTAGGTCCTGTTGGCCAGACCGTCGAGCTCCTTGGCGATGTCGAGAGACGAGACTCCCGCGCCGATGAGGAGCACGTTCTGGTCCTTGTAATGGTTCGGGTATCGGTAGCTCTTCGAGTGCCTCACCCTGTCAGGGTATTTCCTCTTCCACTCAGCCAGACCCCGAACTTCCGGGATGAGCGGGACGTGGTAGTGGCCCGCGGCGACGACAACGGCATCGAAAGTCCAATCCTTGTTCTGGAAGGAGTATTTACCATCGTCATTCTTCAGGAGTGTCTTGGTGCGCACATCCCACTTCCCGGTTGCCGCGTTCTTGACGGCTTCTTCGACGCGGGTGTCGAACAGCGTCACGTCGTGGGCACCAGTCTCTTGTGAGAGACGCTGCACGTATGTCTCGATCTCGTGGTGGGTGACGTGGTCTGGAGTTCCTTCGGGCCACTGCAGCAGAGTCGTCTTCATCATCGTTGTTGGGACGTTGTTCATGAGTCCCTCATAGCAAGGCCCTGGTGGTGCATGCAGGAGTGCGATTTCGTCTTGGTCCTGAGATTCCCGGCTGTCCTTGGGGCTCGCGGCACCATCTGGTGTGTGGCTCCCTTCGGGGGACTCTGTGCTTGGATATTCAGGATCCCGATCTGGCCGTGGATCGAAGTGCCAAAGGCCGCCAGTCACACTGGAGCGTTCGAACACCACGACCTCGAAGCCGTGGCGTAGGAGATGAGCTGCTGACGAGACGCCGCTGATTCCGGCGCCAATGACCGCTACTGACTTGATTGGGGCCATGGTCGATTCAGGGTGCCGTACTAGCACTCCGACGTCTTTCAGGAGTCAGGGCGGCGCCAAGAACTTTGGGGAGCTGGGACGAGTCTAGGATAGTCTTGTTAGGCTGATGATCAGCGACAAGATCTTGGTGATAGGGCGTTTATGGAACTGTTTTTAAGTCAGGCTTGATGAATGTTCTTCGACAGGTCCGAGTGCCAACCGCCAGACGGGGGCTTATGCCGCGGTCGGCGCCGAGGTGACACTTCGCGGGAGCACGCCATCTACATATCCGAATTGCGTTATAGAGGGGTGCCAACCCTAAACACATTCTGGATCTATCGCGGCGGAGAAATGATTAGAAACCCAGTACAATACCCCGTAATGAGGCACAAAGTTATTGGCCTGCCGACAGATCCGTGTCCACTACGGGGGGACTGGGAGACTCGCTCGCTGCATATGGGTGGATAAGTTTGTCCACCACCTACATTAATGAATTGCGCCATTCACAGTATCATGCCGCAGTTGCAGTAGACATGGCCTGTGAAGAAATACCCCCGGCACCTTCAGTCGTCCCGTCAACTTCAGTATCGATTTTCGAGGCTAAATTGTGTCATGATACCTGCTAAGAGCTATTTGGCCCCAGATGTGAAAGTTATCAAGAAGTCATGCTGCCGAGGCAGCCTGCAGCAAAATCTGGCACTTATGCATGCATGTGAATTTAGACGGTCATCCTGTTCGTCGTCTGCAGTTGCACTTCAGACGCCTTGGGCTGTTACCCAAGTCTCCACGATGCCCAACTGCGTCGCCATGTTCCATCGTGGGATGCTCTTTAATTGAAAACAGCAACCGGATTCTCATAGCCTTGGGTTCTTTCGAAGAGAGCTACCGGCATTGGGTGGAACTTTTTCGGCGCGCAGAGCACCTTGTCAAGCAACGCTCTCATTTTCCCCGAGCTGCCACGATCAATGACACCGTACGTCAATCTGCATCACGCAACACAGAAACCATCTACAGCCAGAATATGGCAAATGACCAGAATGGTTTTGACGGGCTGTCGGACAGAGTTGCGGCACAACGCGAAGGGCTGCACATGGACAGGTTGCATGACAGTACTCACTCGGGACGGGACAACAATCAGGACGGTAGGCATGGAACAACGCAGATGGTGGATGATACGGCACCAGGCTCCGCGCAAGATTACGTTACTGTGTTCCTTCGGGAAGATCTGACTACGCCGGCTGAGCTCAACAGAACATTGGACGGAAATCAAGATGCAAGGCGGGACGAGCTATCCGATGACACCAATGCGGAAAGCATCTATCAAGAAAGAAATGAGGGAGGGGGTAACGGGGGAGAACACGTTGAGCCAGCTTTGATGGATGGCGGCGACGCCGAGGTGCTGCTCGCCACGAGCACCACGGCCGATGGGACTCCAAATATGGACACGACGACCATGCCAGGTGTCGACATGGGCACGGAGCCCATTGTCGCATCTAAGGGGGGTAGTCCCGGTGCATTATCATTTATAAGCAATGAGAACGGCGGACAGCCGACCTCTGAGCCACATTCAGACGGTGGCGATGATGCACAATCCAACACTGGTAGCCATGAGACGACTTCTCAGCCTGGGTCATCAGTTTGCACGCATGCGGACGTCAATACCCTTTCTTGGACTTGGAGCCTAATTCTATATGCATCATCTGGTGTTCGCACCAAGTGCAACGCCTGTGGTGAGGAACAAACTAAGGCGGAGTTGTCCAGCCTGCTGAAGGAAAGCGAAGAAGGAGGAGCCAAGTTGAATTGGGAACATATCTCGAATTTGCGTTGGGTGCCAGGCGCTGGGTGGTCGTGGAGCTTTTAGGTCAATCACCGATGCGTCATTGCTTTACCGCTTACAAAACGCTATGGCTAACGAAAATGATGGTAGACTTGAAGACTGCGTACATACAGAGTCGGCTCTGTGGGGGTAATGTACGGCGATCGAGTGGGAATGTTGCCTTGAAACTCTCACCGCAGAGTCTGAAATAAGTCTCCCATGCTTTTGTATACCTGGAAAAGGGGGTTCTTGAGCCAGGAAATGGCTTGTCAAAGGTAGCTATGGTTTCGCATATTCCTTCTCACAGTAAAAGAACAAACTTCAGGCCGTGATACTTTGATCTTGCTCAGTGCAAACAGCCGACCTGTACATGAATGCATGCCAAAAATGCAGCCAGGAAACGCAGCATCAGGTGTGACACTGGACGTGAAGTCGAATTTGGGAGCTTGTCTCTCCCCTGCTTACTAGTGCAATCACCGTAGGCGCAGTTTTGTCCTCGTGCTCCCTGTCTACTTGCTACCACTCCCACAGCGCTCTCTTGTTGTCTGTACGAGCAATTACAACAATTACGTCTCCAATTATGTTGTTTCCTCGTCACCGGCGCGATCGGTTCGAGATCAGTGAAGAGCTACTGGCTCGCCATTTTAATAGTAACCTTTAAGATAGGAATCAGGCTACTGTTAATATAGTTTCCATTTCTGGAGTCTAAAGCTATGATGGCTGAGGCTTGAAGCTGTCTTGAGGTGCGCAAGAAACCACCACTATTCCTTGACCTTTTGACAGGCAACTATTGGAAAGACTGGTCGTAGCGAGTAAGGAACCTATTTTCTGATCATGCGACCTGCTCGACCTTAGTCTTCTCGTCCGCTGTAGTGGATGAGGTAGTGTAAGCATCCACATGAGTCGTGGCAAAGTGACGGGCTGGAATTTTGTTCGTGAAAAGAAGGTCCAACTCCTCATAGGTTCGGCCCTTTACCTCTGGTAGCCGGAAATAGGACCAAACGAAGACACAGAAGGCGGTAGATCCCCAGAAGAAGCCGGTTCTGCCCCGAAGGTTCCATTCAGTCGGGTTCCTAAGTGACCGTCAGCACGTGGTGGTATGGTAGTAGCGCGCAAATGCCTACATCATGTATGCCTGCAAGACTTGGGACACGATGTTGGTTAATTGGTACGCGTTGCGCGCTAGCACTACCGACAGGGGTCGAAGTCGGACGGAGGATGTCTCGGAGATGATGCTGTACTATCGGCGCGTTAGAGTCTGCGACTGGCCACCATGTATACTGCCACTTACAGCAATAGGCCCAATTGTCAGGGAATAGACAAACAGCCAGAAGACACATAAGCCTCCTGATGGCCAAAGAGCATTATCACCAGCCGAGACATCTAGGATGCCAATGATTAAGAGAACTCCACAAAGGATTCCCATTCCTACGACATAGATCGGACGGCGTCCCCAGTATGAGATGAGCCACCAAGAGCTGGGTACCTTAAAGTCAGTACACCTCAGAAGAAGAATCGTGCTCGTCTTCGGAACTCACAGAACTGTCCCAATAAACGCCATCGCCTTCGCGCCCAAGCTCAACTCAAATGCTTTGGCAGTGTCCATGCCAGCGGTTGTGAAGAAGTATGTGGGAGTATAGGCGAAGCTGCTTCCAGACAGAATCTGACCCGCGAATGCAACCATGACAACTTCGCTACGACGAAGGTCAATACCTCGGAAGCAATCGATATAGCTTGCGCCTTTCGTGACCTCGGACTCGATCTTGGTGGTGTGCAGCATCATGGCCAGCTGCGCTGAGACTTGCTCCTCTGTCTTCTCCGGCCCACCAAGTCGAAGGATGGACTGCCGTGCCTCATCCAGCCGATCCTGACGGACGAGGAACCACGGAGATTCGGGGGCCAGGTAAGCAACCAACATTAGGGGGGTAGGCCAGAGCCACTGTATCGCGAAGGGAATTCGGTATCCCATCTCGCCCTCGATATTGAGACATCCTCGCAGGACGCCTGCAGCGATAAGCTGACCAATAGCCCAGCAGAGGTTGACGTATGTGGTCATGTAGCCACGCAGATTTGTAGGGCAGACCTCAGAGGCATATGCGGGACTGAGCGTGGCGAACACACCCCAGGAGAGGCCGCACATGATTTGTCCGACGAGGAGTACCTCAGGCCCAGGGGAGAAAAAGGTCAAGAAGATGAAGGCGTTGAGGAAAGCCATGGAGATGATCAGGACCCATCGGTATCCGTACTTGGAAGCAAAATAGCCGTTGAGAAGGCCGCCGAATATCCCGCCGACGGTGCTGCCCATGCTCAGTCCAGTCTGCCAGGGACCAGAGACTTGCCAGCCAACGTCACCGCCATACCAGCTCCCGAACTTTCTCTGGAATTCCGGGTACGCGAAGAAATTGCCCATGAGGATGGTATCGTAGCTTTTAATGTAGAATGTCAGCGTGGGCGACCCCGCCGCAGCCTCGCCTGCACCTTGGATGGTGGTAGCGTGATAAGTTAGACTCACCCTTCCATAACGATCGACATAGATATCAACACGGACCAAAGCACTGCCCTCCGATTCTGGCTGAAGGCCTCACGTAGAGTCTGCGCATGTTCGTCGTCTGTGGCCTGTTTTGCTTCAAAGACGGCGGTGTGGCCGAGCTTTTCCTCCAGCTCGTGGTCAGCCGCCTTCTGAGCGCCGCTCACGAACACATTCTTCTCCATCCTGGTCATGCCCCCGATGTATGCAATGCTCTGCTGCAAATTAGGGATCTAAGAACAAATCCTTTAATGTTCGGGCCGTTATAGGGATAGCTCTCATTCAGGTTATCTTGTAACTGTTCAGCTCACCGACCTCGGGGGATATATATGCTGTCCCTTGTGCCGTACCATTTTGTCCCGTCGGGTATTTGGGTACGGCGACCGGGGTTGGGGGGTTGGGGGAACGCAAGGGGAGACTATGCTCTTCGCGGTCACTTGTGATCAAAAAGTTCTTCGTTCTGGTTGGGGAAGACATGGGGAACAAACGCTCCCCGCACTTCGTTGTCTTGGTAAAAGTCCTAACTGGCTTGGCCACGGGTCAATTAGCCGGGGATGGGAATTTATCCACCATACAAAGATGTTTTCTATGAGTACGAAAACTCTTTGAATCCTTACAGCACTCGCTGATAAAACCCGGAGGGCCGACCATCCGACAAGCTGTCAGATTGCAAAAGAAATCGACTGTTTCCCCAAGCCTACACTTCAACTACTAGTACCAAAGGACTTCCCAGTATAGCACGAGTCAGTTAAAAGCTATTGGTCATATAGCAAGTCTCTTATTCTACTCAATTATGTGAATTATCCCGTTGACTATCTTGTGTGCTAACGCTGAGGTACAGTTCAAGCTTTGTCCTACATCCCCAAGAAAGAGCAATTCCTTTTCTGGCCCGATATAGTATGCCATCAAACTTTTTGCATGCTGACAGATTGCCCTTGAGATGCAGTACCAGCTAAAGGTCATAAACACCCCTCTGCAGGTGCACAATCCACTCAAACAGCCTCGTCGGCAATAGCCAGAGCGCCAGGTAGACCGTACGCGCCAAGCCACCACGCCAGATCTGTCCACGGCGGCCACTGATCGTATCCCTGACGAGATTCCTCGCCACGACCTCGGCCGGCTCGTTGTTACGATTCAAGGCCCCCGTACTCGAGCTTGTAATAGTGCCGGCGATCTTCTCGTACGGCGACCCCTCGGGCAGGTAAAAGGCTGGGGTGTTGTCGTACATTTGTGTGCTGACCTGACCCAGCATGACGGTCATCACACGTATGCCAAGGGGCTCCAGCTCGATGCGTAGTGACTCTGAGATCATTGTTTCTGCAGCCTTGGAACTGTTGTAGATTCCTGAATGGATCTTGCTATTAGTCCTCCGTCATCCGAGTTCATGTTGGAAATGCACCGACATCGCTTACCTTGCCATGCAACGTTTGCCGCGCCTACAATAGAGCAGATGTTCATAATAACGCCCTTGGACTTGAGGAGTAGCGGAGAGAAAGCCTGGGCCAGGCTGAGGGTGCCCCAAACATTGACATCATACATTGCCTTTGCCTCTTCAATCGGCGCATGGAGCAGTGGCATAGTGCTCCCAATCCCAGCGTTGTTAACAAGTATGTCAAGCTTGCCACCCGTCTTCTGCCTCACTGTTTCCAGACACGCATCAATAGACTCCTTTGACGTGGTATCGAGTGGCAAGACGTCGATGTTTGCTCCATGCTCCCCGGCTAGTAAGCCTGCCTTGGCGGGATTACGCAGCGTGGCGAAGACGTGGTAACCCTGCTCCTGGAAGGCTCTGGCGAGGGCAGCACCCAGGCCACCCTCGCTGCAGCCGGTGATGAGAACTGTTTTCAGAGGCATTGCGAGATTTGGATGTATCCGAGGGGAGTTGTGTGTGATGGGTGAGAGGAGCAAACATGATGAGACATGGAATCTCTAATGTTGGTGGTGCGGGTGGGGCATTTTAATGGCCCAGCCCCCCTGCCCCAGTGCTTGTTGGAAGGATCTTGCAGATCCTGCCCAGTGGCACACAGGGTCAGTGAGTAAGCCTCTGCTCTCCCAATCCTATGGAGTTGTGTACATCCTCTCGATTAGCGTTGATTACTTTGTTCTAAACTTTTGACTGTATTGCATTGAATACTTGGCAGTTTTGAATGCCATCACCAGCAGACTTTGCTAACTTCCGCCAGTGCTGTCCCCAGTCCCGAAATTGGCCCCAGCAGTGTCTGGGGTGTCTAAGTCTAGACTACTAGTATGAATGCTCCCTACCGCAAAAGGCGATCCGACGGAGAAGATCACGCTCTTCGAAATGCAAATTGTCTTTCCTGACTGCCGTTTACACGTCTTCACAAGCTGGTGCGGAATTACAAGAGGTGTTGGCAGGAGGGACATAGTCATAGACTCAAAACATTACGATTTTGCAGACCAAGGTTCATCTGCTGGAAAAGCAACTTTAGTACTAAGAATCACAGAACGCCAGTACTGAGGATCTGAGAGAGTCGCGCGAGAGGTGTAAAGAGCAGGAGGAGAAAATTGCATTCTTGATGAGGACTGTGTGTGATCTCGAGAAAAGGACGCGCTCTGTCGAATGGTTGTTGACGTGACGCGCTCCGTGTTGACTGCGGCTTAGTGAACTCATCCTACGCCTTAATCAGCTGACAAAGAGGACACGCCAGCATCGGATCGATCCGCCCGACCACTCCTCTGCGATTTCACAGTGCTCACATCAGGCCCATCCTTTTCCACCTCGAGGTTGCTGGGTCGCCTTTGCAAGGGTATGCAGGCTCACCATGTCCGCATCCCCTTCTTCGCCCTCGGTGGTGCCCGCCAAGAGGAAGCATCGGCCCGGACTGCAACGGGTTCAAATCGCATGCGAAAGATGCCGCCTCAGGAAGAACAAGGTATGTGTCACCATCCGCTATTGTTGATATCCTGCCACACATATCACCTATAGAAGCTTGGACATAAGTCCCTTACACGCGATAGTGCGATGGCAAACTACCTGAATATTCAACTTGTCAAAAAGCCAAAGTGCCCTGCATTGTTGTGAATCGCATTACGCAGCGCCAACAACCTCGTGGTCACATCGAGGATCTGGAGGCTGAGATCACAAGTCTCAGAGAGCGAGCCCGCCAACTTGAGCTAGATATCTCAGCTCGAGATTCTGAATTGGATTCCTTGAAGCAGGCCAATGACATTCCTCCGGCTTCCTCTCCCGGAATCACAGCCGCCACTTCAGACTCTGATCACAACCGAGCAAGGCGAGATGGTCCAGTGACGCAGAACGAGTCTAGCCGCACGTCTCCACTCTTGGCTCAGGTGGTACTCTCACAAGCCTCAGCCTCGCAGGAGATTGCTACCACCCTGACAGGGCCTGGAGCCACGGAGACCGCTGGTAGACTTACTGTTTTCTCATTACTGCCTCCACACGACACTGCGGAACAGCTCCTAGAAACTTAATTTACGCTTAGATGGCCAGCGTTACCAGTGCTTCATCAGCCCACCTTTGTGAAGCAGCATTACGCCGACGTGGCACAACTTGGTAATTCTGCGAGCCCAGTATCTATTTTCCTGACATTTATGATCTTCGCCCTGGGATCCATTCACACCAAATCGCAAGGGCTCACCCTACCAGATGCCCATCTCGACTTCTTCGATGCGGCCATGCAGCACATCTCTGGCTTGATCCATTCAAATAGCCTCGAAACAGTCCAAGGTCTATTACTCATGACCGTGTTTGTTGTCAATGAGCCGCGCAGGATCAACTCTTGGCATGCAATTAGACTTGCTATGCGGACAGCCATCAACCTGGGGCTGCACAGGGCTTCTACGTCGTTCTCGTCAAATATGCTCACAACTGAGATGCAGAGACGGGTGTTTTGGTCGGTGTATATACTCAATCGCAATGTCTCCATATCACTAGGCAGGCCTTGCTCCATAGGTAATGCAGACTTCAACACGCCTCTTCCTAAACATTATTCTGATAATGACCTGGAGACCATATGCCGCGGCGCAACACCACTTAAAGGCCGGCCCAGAAACCCCAGAGACCTATCGGCATTTTTGCACATAGTCAAGCTCCGGCAAATCCAGTCCAGGACACAGAAGATATTCTACCCTATCAAGGTTGCCGATGCCATAGACCCCAATAACCTCAAGCAGGAACGTCAATCTCTGCGATTTATGCTCGATGACTGGATCACAGGAGCCCCGCGCAACTCCAAATCAACACCAGCGACGTTCCAGTCACCGGACTGGTTCCAAATTGCCTATTCGCATGGCCTCCTCCTACTCTATAGGCCATCACCAGCCTGCCCGGCAATCAATCTGGAGTCGTTGCAAATCTGTGCAGACTCGGCGATTAGCCTGATCAGTTCCTACTCCTCACTTTATGCCAAGAACAAAATCACCTACACCTGGATTTCCCTGCAGTCCCTCTTCATGGCAAGCGTCACCATGCTATATACCCTCTGGGTCAGCCCTCAGACCCGCAAAAGCACGAGAAAGGTGGTGGTCCAATCAAACGTCAGGTCGTGTCTGGCCCTCTTCGATGCAATGGAGCACCATTTGCCACTGGCCAAGAGGTTCTACGGCATCATCGACCGCCTCGGACAGGCTGCCGTGGGCCTGTTTGATCCCAACAATAACGAGACACCATCTCCCCTCTCTGCCGATCCGGACAGCGCGGCTGACTTCCGACAGGTCGACGCCGAGTACATTGGGTGGTTTGGTACGCGCAACTCTTCGCAGCTGCAGGTACCGCCCGGGCCGTTGAATCCGTCTCCCACCGGCGTGGACGAATTGAACGCGGCAATAGAGACTGTGCTGTCCGATTCGGACCTGCGAGCGACCTCATTCAACCAGGCTGAGCTCTTTCCGGACTGGGGCGACTGGTTTCGCGAGGGGTTCGACATGACGATTCCCTTAATGACGAATGCATTCAGTGATCGACCGCTTTGACGGAATGTGTTTTACGACGAGGCAATTATCGTTTACGTAGCCTCAGCATGTAGACATAAAGTCAAAAGTCTCACATGCGATTCGATCACTTATCCATCAGCATTCCTTGGCAAATGGGCACATACTTTATGTTAATTCAGTATACACAACAGTAATAGAAATAAGGAAATGCACAGGTCAAATTGAAAATACTCTCTGTTCCGAATAACGTCAATCTGACGCTCCGCGGAGTATTTAATGAACCATGACGGATTTTGATTCCCCTGAGAGTGGTCCACAGCGATATGGGTTCAACGTCGGATACATCCGAACTACTTACAAGTCCGGCAGAATACAAACAATACCGCTACCATTTTAGCGCGTCATTCTCCCTACAAGAACCTTGGAATGTTCTTCAACGTTTCACACCCTCGGCGAAATTAAAATGTAACAACTAGATTATCGATTGCATATGGACATCATGACGACCGCAGTTGCGACTCCAGCTCAATTAATGAGCAAGGGTGATGTCAGGCTCCAGAGGAAGAATATAACCTGGAGTAGTCTTGCAGTAGGCGCTGCAATGAATATCTTCCAGGTATCCACGCTTGGCCAACCTCTGGAGAATGTCAAAACTTATGTCAGTCCCTCCTAAATTCCACGGGCTCAATGTCACTTTCACTAACGACATCAGGTGTCAGCAAACCGCAACGCAACGCTGAAAGAAGCAGCTAGCGCCATACTGGCGCGTGGTCCCATCAGAGGCTCCTATCAAGGACTTTTCCCATGGGTATGCAGCAAGTCAAGGCTCAATGCCGTGGGTGTCAATGTGCTGACGGAAAACAGGCCGTCATCGAACCCACCACCAAGGGGGCTATATTGATCTTCACATCTTCCGAGGTCGCGTATTTCGCGTCAAATAACCTTGCGCTCTCCCCTGCGGTATCCGCCACGTTTGGAGGCGTGGCTGGTGGAGCTGCCCAGTCGTATCTGACCATGGGCATGACGACGTGCATGAAGACGGTAGAGGCCACAAGGAACAAGGAGATGGCCAAGGGGACCCGGGTGCCTGGCACGATGGAGACGTTCTTTAACATCCTGCGAACCCAAGGTATTCGGGGGGTCAACAAAGGTGTCAACGCGGTGGCCCTCCGGCAGATCACAGGATGGAGCAGCCGCATGGGCATATCGAAGGGGGCAGAAGGGCCAATCCGGGGGCTCACAGGGAAAGAGAAAGACTGACAAGCTGACTATGGGGTAGAAGATTGCAGCCTCCACGGTTGGTGGTACTTTGAGTTGTTGGAACCAACCTTTCGAGGTAAGCAGCTTTGAAGAACGCTTTTGCATCGTGACAGCTAAGATGGGGGAAAACCAACAGGTCATTAGAGTCGACATGCAAGCAGTCAAGAAAAATTCGCCTGTGGTGACACCTTCCATGGTATCGACGGCAAAACAAATTTTGCAAACGGATGGTCTTCGACGGTTTCCGTGGCGTCGTACCCAGAATCGGAGTTGCTTCGTGGGCAACAATCTGTATGGTTGGGCTTGGAGACCAAGTGCGGCAGAAATTTGCGAAATGAGGTTGACGTGGTCCAAATCAGAAGACGCAGCAAATACCTTTTCTTCTAAACACCGCAGCTCATCGATTGTACAATGGCAGTTGAGAACCGCGAGGCTCAATCGGCTCGTGGGCGATTGCCAAAAGCAGCCTTTACATTGAGTTATGTAAGAGAATTAAGAATTGAAAGAAATTGTCCCATTGTTCTTCATTTACCTTCCCTATGTACTTTGAAGAGCTATGCACCACTCGAAATGTCTACTGTCCCATGGTACATTGATATGAGTACTCTCTCACTTCAGAAGCTGTTATTGAGGGCCACAACTCTTCACATTAGTGAAAAATACTGCATCAGACTCCCTCTGCCTGATATCAACCACCCTGATTCATGGCCGCGAATCGCTTGTTTCTTCCTTCGTACACAGTTCTCCAAGCCTCAGCGATTCCCGGGTCAACACTCGAGTCACCGTCCATCTTCGGCTCTTCCCTGTAGATAAGGTCCTGCAGATTTGCTTCCACAACAGCGCCGTTGGGGCCTGAACTGGCCCATTTCTCCCTGCCATCCCTGGCGAGCCTGTCAAACTCGCCAAGCTCGTCAAATGCCCTCATCATCGTCGCCATGGGCGTGACGATCGACTCGGGGAAAGCCTGCATCAGCCCAGGCGGCGCGAGCCCCGTCGCCACGACCGCAGGGCAGACGCAGTTGACACGGATGCCCGCCCGCGCGGCCGCAGGCGCCACGGCCCGCGAGAGCCCCAGCAGGCCGTACTTGGAAGAGCTGTACTGCGGGTTCGGCGGGTGAGCGCGGAACCCGGCGACCGACGACGTGATGACGACCTTGCCCCCGCCGGGAGGCTGCTGCGCTGCCGGCCTCCCAGGGCTGTCCACCTGTGCCAGGCTCATGTAGTGCGCCGCGAGCTTCAGGCCGTAGTACGGGCCATACAGGTTCACGGCAAAGGTCAGCATGTTTGGCCGCCGCGGCGGGCGCGCCGCGTCGCCTGAGATGCTCCCGAAGATGTCATCGCGGTCATCGATGCCCGCGTTCAGCGCGACGAAGTGCACTACTTTGCGTTAGTCATCTGCCACACTGTCCGAATTAAAGAATTCTGGAAGATTGTAACAAAGGATAGATAGGCAAGCGTAGCAGGGGATGGCTTAGACATACGGCGGGAGAAGCGCGCGTAGGCGGTTTGGAAGGCGGAAGCGAGCTGGTCCCAGTCTGAGATGTCTGTCTGCAGGAATGTGGTGGACTCGGTTGGAGTCGGGGCGATTGGGGCTTGGATGTCCAGTATGAAAACATGCCAATTCTTCGTGGCCAGGTGGTTGGTCAAGGCTAGGCCAATGCCTGAAGAGCCCCCTGTTACTATGGCCACGCCGACTGGATCAGATGGCATCGTGGTCGTGACGTATCAAATCCAGTATGTCAAATCAAGTAGGAGGTTCTGTATTTATTGTGAGAAAAGGATAGCTGCGGTAGAATTCTCGGTGGTTTATCCCACGTTTGGGGATGGAGGAGGGGAAGAAGGCATCATCGGCAATTCATTAACAAGCGAGGGGGACGATTGGTGTGGAGGGACCGTCCCGAGCTACGCAGGGATACGTCTCCCACCAGCTCTAACATAGACCAAGCCTCCAAGGCAAAGTGGACAATGAAATGCGAGTAAAGTATTTTGGCAGTCTTCTCCATCATCTATGAAGACTTATCTAGCACAACATAATCAATGAAATTTCTTTTTGGGGAAAGGAGCGATGGTCAGGATCAAGGTGCATCAAAAAGCTTCGTACGATCTTGAAGGTTGAGACAAGTCTCTTAAGCCCCGGGATTAGTAGCCTAGCACAGTGGATGAATTGGTAGATGCGTGGAATAAAGAGATCTTGAGTATGGCTACCCCCGTAAAGTGTGTAATTCAGCATTACAGAGTCTAGCAGTCTAGTGTAATGTATGTTATAATCATCATTGGATCAACTCATACTCAACTGCAATGCAGATCAGTTTGAGAGATGTCTCTAGGCATGTCTCCGCACAGCAGCACTATGGCCCTCGATCTATTAAGTTTGCACCTCGATGATGTGCATGAAAGTTTGACACTGTCCAAAAATCCATTCAAACTCCACTCTAGTAGAAAAGACCTATTGTCTCAACAATTATAGTAATTTCAACTCTGCTTGCCTCGGCCCATGAAATACAAACGAAAGTCTGTCCATCAGCTGTGTTTTCCGCTTGTGCAAGTCTATAACATAACTGCGAGCTCACATCAATAGGGAAATAGGGAAATGGAGGCATTCAGACTTTATTGCGAGTGAGTGACCGCAGTGGGTCTTTCTCTATTCCACTCAAACAGTTGAAGTCTGACGTTAAATTAGATGACCCGTCCTGGATTGGCCTGGCAACCATGGAACAACAAAGCATGCGCATCACTGCTATAGAAACACAGTTTCATCTCTTTCCTGACACGTACGTCCTACGCTGCTAAGTGTACAGATGCAGCGGGCCATCTCCTGACCATCACACCGTAAGACGCACCGCGGAAGGGCAGGCCGTAGGCGTGCGGGCGCCAGGCACATCGCTTAGTAGAACTGTGAAGTATTTCGCCGGACGTCATCAACAAACCTTCGCAGCTCTTCGTTGACTTGTTGTGGCTGCTCCACCAGCAAGAAGTGACCAGCCTTAACCGGAGTGACGCGGAGCTGGTCGGCGTACGGGGCTGTGTTGTTTACCTTCGCGTCTGCAAGTGCAACTCGGTCATCAGTCGCGGTGATGAGTAGAACTGGTTGTGTAATATTGGCGGCGGTTGGCGGAATGTCTGCTGGTTGTCAGTACATGTTCCAAATTCTTATGGGTTCTGCCTGCTCCCTACCTTCTTCGTCGGCGGCGTTGACGTCCCTCATCAGGGATTTGTAGGACTTAATCGGGCCGTCGAACCCGCCACTGACGGCCAGGATGAACTGAAAGGTTGCCTTGTCCTCAGGGCCGAGGTATTTCTGCCAAGGTGCTATTCTATCTCCTAGGAGCCACTTCTTATACTCTCCGACGGGCGAGAAGTATTTCTGGATATAATCAGGGTCGTCGGTGTAAGTGAGGGTGAAGGCAGAATCGACCTATAAGCAAGTATCATCAGTAGTATGCATCATCTGTGCCGGCTCAAGGTCGACTCACATGGGCGTCCATAATCGTGGCAACATCGTCATCATTCATGAAGTACCAATACCAAAACGTGGGGTAGCCCACGGAGGCTAAGGTAGCATTGTTTGCCATCTCAGCTCCGGCCTGGTTGAAGCCGAGTGGTGGAGGAGCATACCCAACCCCTGCGAAAGCCACCCCAAGAACACGCTCTGACATATAAGTCACAACACGAGACAGCACAACCGATCCACTGCACGCGTGTCAATCCAAGTCCCAGAAAAATGCGTAAGCCCGTCATCGCGAAGTCGTTCGCCCGGATACACGAGAGCAACCTCAAAAAGCAAGGTATGCTGCCATTGACTTTCAGCAATACTACAGACTATGATCGACTCAGGCCGGATGACCGGATCAGCCTGCTCGGGCTATCTCAACTTGCTTCCGAGCGGCATGTGACGATGGTAGTGAATAGTAAGGATGGGAAGTGGGAGACGGCCCTCAATCATACGTTCAACGAGGAGCAAATAGCTTACTTCCGGGCCGGGAGCGCATTGAACTTGATGGCACTGACGAGAGGCAATGGCGAGGATAGTTTAGTATCTAGCACGTAGACTTATTGCAGTATGCATTGGGATATTGGTTCGGAGCTAGTCGAATATTGACAAAATCCAGCCGTACCATGCGAGCCGCGTACCGATGCTCCAGTCCCAAACTAACACATTGTGTGAAGTATTGGCACGTCTCTGTCCTTTGTAAACTACTCATTCGAGCCAGCGGGTCATATTAATAGCTCGCCACATGCACGTTTAAAATAAGGGTATAGCACGGGAGGCTTTTTGGCCAGCAAACGCCGAGGTACTTCCTTTCCCAGTGTAGCATTTCACGTTGTGCTATGTGTATCAATGCACTTGCATTACCGGAAGGCTTTTTTTCCCGATACCTATGTACAGTGTATATAGCAGTATCTCCAGTAAAGGTTGGCGTGGAAAGTCACCCAGCCAATGATTAAGTGTACATCGTGCTTTTAGAGCTTCCAAACCTCAAGGTTTCGATATCGAGCCACCAACGGCGTCATCCCACGGAATCCAATGCGCCCTCCACCCAGAACCGGACCGGTAGACTCGTCGTCTTGGAATGAAAAGATAGGCAAATCATTGATCAAGAACCGTACATCGCGACCGTCCTTGATGACGGTAATCCTATAGAAAGCACCAGCCGCATCAACGACAGGCGGCAGCGGATCCGCACCCTGGGCCACGAGGTTGAAACCCGGGGACTTGCGCAGGTTGGACAGGAGGAACGCGCGCTCCTCGGGCCAGCGCCGGCGGAAATACGACACGTGCAGCGTCCGGATGTCGCTCGAGTGGTACTGCGGGTAGGAGCCGTTGCGCGGCGCCAGGCCCGGGTCGAAGATGCTGCCGCCGCTGACGGACTCGGCGGCGAAGAAGAAGATGGCCAGCCCCGGCTCGTTGCGCGGGGAGAACTCCCAGGTGATGCGGACGCGGTCGGGGAACACCTCTGGGGCCCAGAAGACAAAGTGGTCGTCGATGCCGCCCCCTCCGGATAATTCCAGCGCGCCCTCGACTGCCGTGACGTTGACGGGGCCCTCGGGTACCCAACTCGCGACGTCTGATGTCGAGTTGAGAGGGTTTCGGTAGAGGAGCGTCTCGTTTGAAGCCGCCATGGACGGCGGGATTGTTGCCGCCAAGGCCAGTGCCAAGGTCTGCGGCCGCATCGTTCCTAACTGAAAATATAAGTGCCGAGTGATCCGACCGAGGGCACGGATGAGTCCGATTTGGTTGCTGGAAGACGCGATGAGAAATGGGAATAACAGACTACGGGCTATTAAAGCGCGGCAGCGCAGCTTTAACTACATGGTAACATCCGCCATACATTGGCAGCCGGAAGATTTTGTGGGACATTATTGCACCGAAACAGCGAGGAGTGCGGCGTCTTAATCATAAGCGCAGGAGCTTGAATTCCGAATTTTAATTTGGTGCCTAGGGCCCCGACCACTTCGCACAAAGATTAGTCTCCACATGAGTGAATTTAACCATAAGCTATAGCGAAGACGTGATTACGGCGGATATCGAGACAAGCCACGCTAAGAACCATTACAAGCGTTAATTTTAATGTGACCCCTTTCTTTGAATTCTTTTTGTCGTCAATGGCTTTGCTTACTTTCTACACTTCCTTTTAGTTTGAGCTTGAATACCTCGTCAGCACATCACGTACGACGGGCTGCTATCCTTGGTTTCAAACAATACTCATGCCGTTTAGAATAGCATTGTCTCCAGTACGCTTGAAGCTCAGCCACTGCGCGTCGCCTCTTATCTGAATTATACAGTCTAAATACGCGTAGGATCTCGCTTATTAATGTGTAGTTCTGGTCTCTAGCTCCTGGTAATTGTGTCCTTCTCTACTTCGCCTGATTCGTGTAGAATTTGTGCCAGATTCGACTTGTCCGTAGCACGACGATGTGGCGCGTTCTAATTGGAGCTATCAGCTACGGGTGTAGCAGTTGCACGGCTGCGAGTGACCGCCTGTTTTCGAACGTAAGGTCCCTGCCGGCGGCAGGAATTCGCGCAGCTCCGGCGCGTGATAACTCCTGTAAAGTCCGACCTACCGTATCGATGCTAGGGCCTGGCCGCTATATCAGAGAGAGGGGATATTCGCATCCACAGAAACGGATGGTACATCTACAATGTACCTACTATGTCACGTGATTATAATCGCCTTTATCGCCACCTAAGTTAACTTAACCCCCTTACGCCAACGCTATATTAAATTAATTAAATATTTATTAAGATTAATCATTTTCATATTAAAGATTACTTGTAATTACTTAAATTTTATTTATTTTATAGTATAGTGATAATGCAAGTCTTAGATTACTTTAATTTTAAAGCATAATGGTAGAATAAATAAAGAGGCATTAAAACACCATATAATTAAGTAATTAATACTTTAAAAAGTGTAAAAAAGCTGCATTAGTGATGAGAATGTATATAATAGTGTTTCTGATGGTAAATTAACATGGCGTTAAATTAATTTGGTCGTGGGGTGTTAACTGTGCATTGGCTGTAGCATGTGTGGCATGTGTGGCAGGTATATTGTGGATGTACCATCCGTTTCTGTGGATGCAAATATCCCTTCTCATATCAGATAGGTCGGAGGTATGCTGACGACATTGATTCATCCTTCGCTAGAATTTGACTGCTTGGTGTCTCGAAACGCACTTCCAGCTTGTCACAAAATTGACGAAGTCTGCACTCTCGGAGTCTTCCTCAATGGCCTCATTTGATATCATTATCGTAGGCGGTGGCACGGCTGGCTGTGTCCTGGCCTCTCGACGGTCAACCCTCAGTCACTAGACGTTCTTCTCCTAGAAGATGGCCCGGATAATAACGCAGACCCTAAAGTGTCCACGCCGCTTATCAGTCGCCGCATGTTTAACGACCCCGAGTACGATTGGAATTTCCAGACAATCCCACAAGTCGGGTCGTGTTATTGAGCAGACCCGGGGGCGGATGATCGGTGGAAGCAGCGCAATCAACTCCCACAGTCTAGTGTACCCCAACAGGGCGATGCACGACGCGTGGGCTGAGATCGCAGGGGACAAGCGGTGGTCTTGGGAACAGATGGAGCCCTATTTGGGTGTGCCAACTCTTTGTGTCAGGTGACAACTGGCCATGTGAGTTTCCTTCAAGAAGTCGATATTGGAAGAACCTCACAACTGACTGTTGCAAATAGATATCGCCGATACGATGCGCAACCTTCCGATCAAGGTTATCGCCGACCACCAAGGCGGAATGAAAGAGTTGTCGGCTCTGCCCGCCAACGTCACAGACATCACTCAACAAACTGGTTTCGCAGAGCTGATGAGCCTCGCCAAGGCCGAAAAGCTCTTCATCAAGATCTCGGGTTTCTACCGCTCTTCTAAGGTCACCACGGGCGGATACGACGACCTCGAACCACTGATCAAGGTTTTTGCACAGGAAGTGCCCGACCAGCTGATCTGGGGATCAGACTGGCCACACACGGGCTCCGGCGCAAACCGAACTGAAGCTAACAAGGACGTGCCCGAGCAATTTCGCGTAGTGGACGACGCGGCCGTATTGAAGAACATCAGGAAATGGGTTGGGAAAGATGTGTGGTACAAGATGATGGTGACAACACCTGCAAAAGTATATATGTGATTCGTGGAAATCCTGGGCAGGGGGTAGCCCTAATAGACTTGCTCGACAAACACTCTAAAGCAGCCCCAGCGGTGGCCACAAAGATCAAGTAGACTTGACTACTATTATCGCGATTGTTTGCAACTCAGTATAAGTATATAATAATCCTCAGCATTGCTCAAGATTAACTTTGTTCAGTTATTGATTCTGTGACCCGTAGTTGAGTCAAAGTCATTCTACAAACCTTATCAATTGGCGTTTAGCTCACAGCCCCGCTCGCGGAACGAAATACGGCTGCGGATGCATCCGGACACTGATAGAATTGATCGCAGCAACCTTGCAATAAAACACGTAAAGCTGCTTCCTTATCAGCCAAATGGCCTCATCTTCATCAACCAGTAACACACCATGCTGCAATTTGGCCGATCAATCCACCAGGAAGCTCGTCACTTCAGCACGGCGGCGCCTCGGCTCGCCGTCCAGAAAGCCATAGCGGCGGCATACTACAGAGGAGGCACCTCGAGGGCGGTCATGTTCCGCAAAGGCGACCTTCCTTCAGATCAGTCACAATGGATACACATATTCCGGAGCGTCATAGGCTCGCCCGACCCAAACGGACGCCAGTTGGATGGGATGGGGCGCGAACTGTCATCCTTGTCGAAAGTGTGCGTCGTCGGGCCTCCGGCCGAGAGCGATGCAGACGTGGATTAAACGTTCGTAGCTATCGGCGTCAAGAACGATGAGGTCGACTTTACCAGCAACTGTGGCAACATGACAAGCGCCGTCGGTCCTTTTGCCGTTGATGCTGGACTCGTCCCTAGACCTGAAGATGGCGAGTCGAGCGTCTTGATCAGAAATACCAACACCAACAAACGCATACGGGCGACCTTTCCAGTTCAAGACGGAGAGGCGGTTGCAGATGGCCCATTTGCGATTGACGGTGTAGCAGGCGCCGCGTCAAAAATCAAGCTCGCCTTCCAGCGCCCGCCCGGATCGAAGACGGGGAAGACCCTCCCCATAGACAATGTTGTAGATAGCTTCGACGGCATCCGGGCGACATGCATACACGTCGGAAACCCCTGCGTCTTCGTTCCCGCCTCAGAACTTGGCGTCGACGGCACGATTTTGGCTGACGACTACGGCACACCCGACATTGCTCAGCCAGCTCGACTCGATCCGACGCCAGGCCGTGGTGGCAATGGGCCTCGCGAAGGACATCGACAACGTCCCCGGCTCAATCCCAAAGATCGCAATGGTCTCCGCTCCACGAAAGCACAAGCTTCTGAGCGGCGGGATCCTGGACACGAAGTCCTGCGACGTCGTGGTCCGCGCCATCAGCGTTGGCCAGCCGCACCAAGCCGTCCCCATCACCGTTGCGATGGCGCTCGCTACCGCGTCCCGCCTGCCCGGGTCAACGGTCAAGGAGTGCGTTGCGCCTATGCCTGTGGATCCGGATGGTGTGACTTTGGGGCACAACAGTGGCAAGATCCTGGTGGGATCGACGTTCGACGAGAAAGGGGTTATCGAAGAGGCGATTGTATTTCGTACGGCACGGCGGCTCATGGAGGGTAAAGTGTACTACAAATAAAATTAGGATTTGTTTCTACTATGATTCCTTTTCAACATTAATATCCAAATATGGGGTGGGAGGGTTTTGTCTCTAATAATTGGAGATGTGGCCATCAATAAAACCTCGGTAAAGGAGCAAATCCCATCAAAGTCATCAAAAAGAAACGCATGTGGTAAGAGTTGTTCATGAAGCCTAGACCAATTTTGATATACACGCTCCTACGCGACGAGACTAAGGTGGTCCACGTCACAATTGACTTCAGGATGACCATATCTGAAGATTTGTACTGCCACAACTTTTTTATACGAAGCCCAAAGAGGAGTGGGAAGAAAGAAAGCCAAGGCTTTTGAGGTTGTCGTAGTTGGACAGGGTAATTGTGACGTAGTGCAATGCCCTTTGGTATCCGAAGTACAACCGCTTAGCACACATCCCACAGTCCTACGTACGTGCAGTAAAGTCAGCACAGCAAATTGCAATATCAAAGATGATGCTTTCAATAGCGCTTGCAAATGCTAGTTGGTCTCTTCAAACGGCCGGAGGATCTGAAACGGCCAACTATCACGGCATGTGCCGTCGTCAGCAGAAATGACGTGCTACCGGAGTTCAACCGCGTTCCAACGACGTGGCGGACCGCCAACCAGGCAATATGCACCGGCTCCCGTGCCGCGGTCTCTGCTTATCTTCGAAAACATCTGATTTGAGGTTGCATCCGGATCCGATGGAGTCGAGCTTCAGTCCCGGCTCCCACACTAGCCTATAGCGTGTCTGCCAAAACCGCCTTACAACATGGCACAAGGCGCGCCGCGTATCACGCAATGCCACCCCGCTGCGCTGCCGTTGGGCACAGCACGACGACCCCGCAGATATCGCGTCGAGCCACCGGCGTGTAAGTTGGGGTTTGCGATCCCATTGCGGGATAATCGCAGCACATCCGGGCATGGCGTGCTTTAGATGTGTTTGGGTGGAGGGCCAGCACCTCTTGTGATTTGCACGTTGCCGTGCGTCCTGATGCAGCACGACTGCTTCGAACAGCAACTCGACGTCTTCTCCGCATCAAGGGGGCAATACGAGTCATCCCGTGCGGAGCTTCGACGTCGCCCTGCGGCATGATGCTTAGAAATACGGTGCTTCACGTTATTTGAGGTGATATCACGAATGTGCACCCGGCGACATCGAGCCTCCCCTCGCACAGCCAAGCACCAGTCGAATGAATATATATCTGCGACCGAGGCAATAATCAGTGATATTCTGTCCGTATACCAAATCAGTCTTCTTGAACCAAATCCTGAAACATAACATACTGCCCAAAATGGCGCCAGCACCCATCATTCCTGAGATAGTTGATGTTGCCGAGCCCCGGAAGGACACCTTGGGTCTGCCCCAGTCTACGGCTGCCCGACTCAAGAAGGCCAACATTGATCTCAGCAATGGGTATCCGTACCGCCCTTCACGGCCTCTCTACCTTGATGACATATACAAGATCCGGAGCAAGGAGCGTGTGCACAACGACCCTGGCGCTAGGGCCGACAAGGACAAGAAGTCCCTCTTCTCAGCAGCTACCAAGGTCACTGATCTGACTGCATACATCGGCACTGAGATTGAAGGCCTCCAGCTCAAGGACCTCACAGACCAGCAGAAGGATGAGCTTGCACTTCTGATCGCCGAGAGGAGTGTCGTTTTCTTCAGAGACCAAGACCTGTCTCCTCAGCAGCAACTGTCACTGGGAGAATGGTTTGGAGAGGTTGAGGTTCACGTAAGCTGACTGATATACATCTCCCCTGGCCTGAAATCATATTTACTCATGCCACTGTACAGCCCCAAGTGCCTCAGGTACCTGGCCTGCCCGGAGTGTCCATCATCTGGCCCGATCTCATGGCCACGGAGAGGGCCGCCAACTTCAGGAACCCAGGAGGCGCATCCCGCTGGCACTCGGACCTTGTTCACGAGTTGCAGCCGGCTGGCTACACGCACCTTCACATCGACTCTGCCCCTCCAGTCGGCGGCGACACCCTCTGGGCAAGTGGCTACTCCGCCTACGAGAAGCTGTCCCCCGACTTCCGCAAGATCATCGACGGCAAGCAGGCGGTGTACGTCTCGGCTCACCCGTACCTGGAGCGGGAGCACCCCGAGGAAGGGCCCAAGCACGTCGAGCGGATTCACCCCCTGGTGAGGGTCCACCCGGTCACGGGCTGGAAGTCTCTGTTCGTCAACAGGGCAATGACGCGTCGGATCGTGGGCCTGGACAAGGCCGAGAGCGACGTGATCCTGAATTATCTGTTCGATGTCTATGAAAAGAACGTCGATATCCAGGTCCGGTTCAAGTGGACGCCCAACACCAGCGCTATTTGGGACAACAGGTACGTGTACCCCCTCCGCGGTTATCCGTGGAAGCAGTCAAGCTGACGATTGTTTCAGAATTACCATTCACAATGCAAGCTGGGACTACGCTGGCAAGCACCCACGACACGGAACTCGTGTAACGTCGCTGGCCGAGAAGCCGTACTTCGACCCGAGCGCGCCAACTCGGCGGGAAGCTCTGGGACAGCTGGGCTCCGATGAGCTGCAAGTTGACGGACCTGCGTAGTAGGCTAAATGGGTTGGTGTTTGCAGGCGGTCCCGACTGGCATGACGTAGCATGACTCAATGAATTCAAGAGCACACCAACAAATGAAAACTCGCTCGTATGCAACAGAATTATCTTGGATTACTTGTGACAACTGGGTGCAGCCAAGGGGCGTCTGGGCCTCGTTTCAGGGCTCCACGTGCTAAGCAAGCAAGGAATTTACCTGTGTACCATCAAGCCGTATCAATGTGTACTGAGACTATACATTAGCGGCTTGGATTATACTTCTTCACACTTAGAAGCGATGACTTCCTCCCAAACTTGATTCACCGAAAGGTGACGGCAAGGCACGATTTATGGCTCGTTTCATCAAGTGTGGCGATCGCAATCTCTAGTAATTCTGTTGGTTTTGGTATACTTTCTGAATTCCATTTGCAGATTATGGCTATAGAAATTATGAAGGTCTTTCACGAGAATGACATGTAATATGCATATTGGGCCGACTTGCATATCAGTACTATTGTGATGTGCCACAAGACACGTCACGAGCAGACGAGAAACGCCCCTATGCAGCCTGCAGAAGAGCAAAGCAAAACCTCTATCGTTTTGCTGACAAGAGCCCGTGTGATAGTCACAAACCATCTCAACAGTCGCTAGCTTCCCACACCAATGGGTCAACCGGAGATAGAATCTATCGCACCAGACTTGCGGAGAGCGAAGCCATTGTTGAAATGGATCGGAAGCTGAAACCGGATCGCCAGAAGGAACAGCACTGGGATCAGATGAAAAGGCTCTACAAAACTTTCAAAGACGCCCGGAAGCCCTTCAGCTTGGACCAGTATTTCCACCATGACTTCACAGATCGTGAGATTCAAGAACGAGCCTCGAGTCAGGTTGTCTCGCGATTTATCTACCATCAGCACTGTCAGACAGCCCCCTTCCTTGAAAAGAAGTCAAGCATTGTCTCAAATGTGGCTCGAGGCCGGAAAAGGACATTTCTCAACCATTTCCGTAATCTTAGTTTCAGCCCAAGACAGTTGTTCAAGAGGGAGCGTGAGTTGGACTTAGAGAGAAGTATTCGGCGCTCTCCTGTAGACGGCCCTCAGGTGAACCCTGGCAGCAATTCTGGGAGCGACCCTGACGGCGAACCTGACAGGGATTCTGAGATGCAGCATGAGAGTCAGTCTGAGAGTGAGTCTGGGAGCGCAACTGAGAGCGACCGTGAGGGACGAGAGGAGCAGTCGGAATTGCTGGACATGCTCAAGGAAACGGTTGACCCTCCGTGGCCACAAATCCTCATTGTGCCTCAACTTTGGCTTTTCACAGTTGACAGTAGGTTTAGCACGACCACTATATCCAAGTTCACAACCTCCCTTCGCTACGCCAGAATCGGAATATGCTGACTTGCTGATTGGCTTAGACACCGTCTTCACGTCGTTTCCCAATCGATGGGATCGTTTCAGTGCGGGATCTTCGCTTCGACATTCTTTTGAACAGAAAGTGAAGCCTTTGCCCAAATCCATTGATGCTGATGAGCTCCCCCACAAAATATTTGAGTGTGCCATGCAATCTCTTCCCAGCTTTCCTGCGTCCTGTTTTCTAAGGAGCACCATTCACACAATCCAGACTGCATTGGGAATATTTAAAAACTGACAGATGTTGGAGTCTCGAATGATCGAAGCATGTTATGACGAGTTCCACAAGAATCTAGGTAACTCTGACGACGTGTTTCTTGACGCCTTTCAGGCGCCGACATATTGTCTTCGGACAATCGATGACGTCCTCCGTGAACTGGATATGATCAAGCGCGTATACCAGGACCAGACCCGCGTTTGGGAAGATTTTCACAATGCTGCTTCTTCCCAAAAGGACACTCATGCAGGCAGTGGTATGGGCCCCCATCCAGATAACCGCAAGTGTCCATACTCGGCCACATGTGACCCCAAAGTCCTGCCCCAGCGACTTTTCACTACCGTTTCGAATTTGGTAGACGAAGCGAAAATTGTCCAAGAATCGGTAAGATCTCCAACTCTTTATAAACGTAAGACCGGAAACAGATCAAATGTTAAAGAACGATTCCCGGGCTGTCACACTTCTTACCCTTCTGCAAGGGGAGGCGAGCACGGAGAATACAATTAGCGCCTCAAAGCAGTCGAAGATCTTAGGAATATTTACAGTTGTGACTGTAATTTTCGTACGTAACATCTCAGATATGTTATAATGGTCTCTTTGGCTAACCATTTCAGGCTCCACTATCGTGGATCGCCGCTATCTTCGCCTTGCAGATCCAAAACACCACCTGGACATGGCTTAAAGTTTTCGAAGGATCGTGTGCGTTATTCTTTCCTTTTTCTCCTTCTTATCTTTAAGATATCACCGGAGCCAGAGTACGCCCACCTAGCTTCCACAGTATGCCAACCCAGCTTTTAGCGTTGGTCTACTTAATACTTCCTTTTCTTAGTATTATATTAATAAAATTAAATATTTTTTTAAGTAAGTATAAAGTTTACCTTATATATAAAAAGCTAGGGTAGCTATTTTTTAATTTAAGCAATACTTTAAAAATATAAGCCTAAAAAGCTTAAAGCGCTTAAAGGCCCCCAGAGCGCCTAGAAGCCCCCAGAGCGCCCAGAGGGCGGCAGAGGGCGCAGAGGGCGGAGAGGGCGCAAAGGGCAAAAGAGGGCGTAGAGGGTAAAAGAGGGCGCAAAGGGCAAAAAGGCAAAAATAACTTTTAAGTTATAAATAAAGAAATAATTATAAAACCCCTTTAGGATAGCTATAGCTATGCTTTATTAATAACCCTATAATATTAATATTTTATAATGCATATAGCTAATTTCCTTATACTAAATAGGTTAACGCTAAAAGCTGGGTGGGCATACTATGGAAGCTGGGTGGGCGTACTCTGGCTCATATCACCGGGCATAAACTTAAAACTCAGAACTAACACCCCTGTCCTTGTAGTTGCAAGCGTCTTGATCATGCTTCTACTTTGTGCACTTGGGTGGCTGTCTTTAGACCGGAAAAGAGTCTCGAACAAGGTCCAGAAATGGCTGGCAGATCTGTAGGCCTGTTCTTTTCACTCATGCATGCGTCAGCTCTAGGCGCTCGAGCTGCATTGGCGGGTTATTCGTAGAAGGTGGTGAGAGCTGTGTTATGGGGCAAGATGGAACCAATGGGCTTCAACTTTTCGCGGGCAGGGCAATACAACCGGTTGATTTCAAACATTCATGCAGATAGACGGAAGACCCATTCTTATGACATGTTGTCCACAGATCGCGTGGCTCGCGTGGCTCGCGTGAGACCTTGGACTGAGTTTCGGGATCCGAGGAGGGCTACAAATGCAACAAGGCATGTGTGTTTCTTGAGGAACCAGTTCATCTCTTATGTGTAGGATCAATTTGTTTACTAAAGTAAGATTTAATGTCTCTCTATTTGCTTTGGTACCTCTTTTGTGCCATTTAGAAAGGTGTCTTCAAACTCCAGCCACCACAAAGCCCTCTTGCGACGAAGAAAGCGCACAACGACAGGAAATACAAGCCACCAGCAAAGACGATCAGCCCGTAATAGGCCCCACCACACCACTGCACAATGGCGCCTGCCAATGGGACACCGACCAACGTGCCAAAACTAGCAAGGAAGAACGCGGTCCCGTTCCTCTTACCATAGTCCTCGGTCCTGCACGCCTGGCCCACGCAGACCGGCGTCAGGCTGATGCCAGCGCCGGACCAGAATCCGAAGAGGATGGCAAAGGCGATGGTGGCACCCTTACCTCCGGCGGCGCTCAACCACAGAGCATAAATGAACGTGCCACACACCATCGCCGTGATACACATGACATTCATCGGCCCAAACCGGTCCGCGACGTAGCCCGGCAGTGCACGGCCGGGGATGGCGCCGGCGTTGACGAGGGCGTTGAGGAGCAGCGACGTCTGCAGGTCGAGGCCCTCGTGGATGGCATACGAGCAGATATACGTGTAAGGAATAAAGACGGCGAACTCGATCAGGAAGACGGCCAGCGCAGTCGCGCCGAACCTGGGGTCGGCCAATGCCTTGAGGTCGATGGCGGCGCCGGCCTTCTTGTTGGGCGGCAGGCGCTTCTTCAGGAGTAGGCACGCGCCCACGGATGCCGCGGCGCAGATGAACCCAACCGTCCGGATTGCCCAGGCGAATCCCACCCGCGGCGCCATGAAGACGATGATGAGGGGGAAGACGACTCCGCCGACGCCGCCCGCGGTGCATGCCACTCCTGTTGCCAGTGCACGTCTCTTGGAAAACCAGTGTCCTACAGCGGCGATGCTGGGGTTGAAGAGGAGTGATGCTGAAATACCACCGAGGACTCCGAAGGTGAGCAGGAACTGGTAATATTCTAGACCAAGTCAGCTTTGGCGCTCGAGGCCAAAAAGGGTATTTAGGTGGTCGATCGGATTTTCGTACCTTTGCACACACTCAACAGCATGGTGGCGGCCACAATCCCAACACATCCTGGCACAACGAGGAGCCGAATATCGTGAGCGTCAAATATTGGGCCTGGGCGCAAAAGTCAGCATTCGGTCGAATCGTGAGGGTGTTCGGGAGAATGGGGGCAACGCACCAACTTGGGCGCCACAAAAGTATAAAAAGAAGGCGTAGGTGCTGAAGACCCAGCCAATGGTGGACTCGGGAAGCCCTTTCAGCTCGTGTTCGGACACCCACGCCTGCAGGACGGCGAGGGTGTTGAGGACTCCCATGGAGGGGATCATGGCGCACCATGCGCCCGCCACGACGAGCCATGCATCCTTGCCTCCTTCGGGGTAGGTCTCGGAGTAGGTCTCCTCATCACCAAATGTCTGCACTTCTGGTGTTGACACGTTAGCTTTGTTGTGGCTGGTTTCAACATTGGGCTCAATCAGCAAAACTCACCTTGGACAGGAGAGACTGGATCAGAAGGCCTTGGCGAATGCATTCTCAATAGGCAACGTGGTCTGGCTGACCTCGAGATATTCGCTACTGCATCAGAGCCATTTGAAGAGAGGTGAGTCTTTGGCTGATATACAACAGAGACTTTTTGCGTTCAACCTAGTGAGTGGGGGCAGTTCTGCGCGTGGCCAACCAGGCTCCTGGGATTCACAAGTCAATTCGATGGTCGCAATGCTCCTGAGCCTTTGCATGTTGCGGCTAGCGCAGTTTGTGGATCCAAATCAAGTCGGGAACCGTCGAGCCGGATTGCATGTTGCTCACCGGTGTGGCCTTGAGTAAGGGATTTTCATTCTGGATCCAGGTCATGACGGAGCCAGGCCAGGCGGATGAGATGTTATTCAACCGTGCAGCGTTTAGTAATGGATCTTCTGGGTTACGTGAGAAGTAGAGACAGTGGGGACAAAGTACGGCCTCATGAAAGTGTCGCCGAGTCAAATGACGTTGTGGGATCGTGATACCGAAGCCGAAGCCGAGGCCAAAGCCGAGCGCCGGACAGACCCTCAATGACTGTCCACGGGCGGACGGCATCCAACTCCAAACAAGAATGGGAAAAATACGGTCAGTGTTGAAATATTTGGTAAGACGTGGGCGTGTGAGCAGTTGAAATTACTCTTGCCTGTTCCAAGTTGGTGCCTCACAAATGGCGGGGAGTTGATCAGAACTCACCAAACACATGCAAGACTTTGGGTCGCTGTCTTTGATGGGTCGGCCTTTCAGTAAAGATAGATGGATCATGAGAGGATCTATATGAATGTAAATTGTACAAAAGATATACAGTGTGAGTTCCGTGAGGAGTGTTATCTGAATAAGTCAAGTGGATATATCCCACGCTCTTGCGCCCCAAGCACCCGCTCAAAGCAAGTCGAAACCTTTTGAAAGAAAATACCACCATGGTGAGGAAATTCCTCAATGCACGAAAATCCTACAATACTCGCCGTGCATCATGACCAAGCAGGCCAGCTGCTCCCATGCCACCGTCCGTTCAGAGTGGAAAACGCGGTGACTGGATACTCCGGCTCCCCAACTACTTCCGTCCTCGTTTAGTTATGCATGAATCTCTCGTCCAGGCCAATGTCCGCGAACATGTACCGATCGTTCCTGAGATGCATGGCCACGTAGCCCATGACATACTCATGCCATGCCCGGGCGTACGATTCCTTTGTGGCGAGAATGCTCGTGACGCTCAGGTACCTCTGTGCGGTATCCGCGACGATCTCCCTCATGGCCGCCATGGCCGTCTTGTTCTCGCTCTTGGCCTTGCTGTTCACGTAGTTCTTGGTCTCGCCGGCGATCTCCTCCTTGTAGAACCTGATGGAGGTCAGTACGGATTTGTCCGCGTGGCTGTGCCGATTGTTCCGGGGACTTACGACAATATGTCATTCGTCAAGTTGATGAACCTCCCCATGTCCGGAGTAGCCTGCAGGAAGCTTCCGATATCGGGGTACAGCGCCTTGGGGAAGATGAAGCCGGAGTAGGTGTCAGGGAGGCCCTCCTTGTCGCGGAAGTAATACGGCCAGCTGGCGGCCGCCTGCGAGGGCACGAGCTCCTGGAACTCGTGGCGGGTCTCGAGCGCGTTCGAGTTGACGAACGCCAGCGCCGAGAGCACTATCGTGTTGGCGACGACGGGGTCGTAGTACCGGTACGTGTTGCGCAGGGTCTGGGCAAAGTGGTCCAATAATAGCGACGGCTGTGGCTGGCAGGTGTAGAACCGGGCCTGGAAGTGCGCCAGGTCCGAGGCTATGCGCTTGTTCGTATCGTCGATGAGGAATCCAAGCCACGTGAAGATCCCAATGTGGAGCTGAACCTCCAGAGGGTGGCTAGGGTACATGTCCTGGTTGGAAAAGAAAAGAAAATAGCGCGTAAGCTGACAGGTCCCACTTTGCCTTTGGGTGCACGCGCATGACTGCACAATGCAGCCCTACAGGGCTGCATCTAAGACTGGGGGGATGGAGTGTAAGAATTAGGGGACTTACTATGGCGACGGAGAGGCCCGTCTCGAAACACTGCCGGGAGTGCTTGTCCTCGTTGTAGGGGACCCCGGAAGGAGCCGCATACTCGGTCATGGCTGCACGGAGAGCAGCTTTGTCCGGCTTCGAGGGCGGATCGTAGTCTATTGTCTCGAGGAAGTTGGATATGAGAGGTCGGATGGTCGAGACCAATTGGTCTTGCTTTTTGGAGGGTGCTGGAGCCATAGTGGTAGCTGGGAATGTCTCGTAGCTGCCCATGTCGACTAATATCGTGGGACAAAGAGGTGGTGATGGTTGGTTGGTTGATTATATAGCAATTATGGCAATTATAGCAATGACTGAGCAAGAGCAGCTCGCGGTGATCCTTGAGCTATGTTTGAAGAGCATTGGTTGAAACAGGTCGAGGGAATCGTACATTTATACACGTCCAAAAAAACGTGGCTTCTGCCTGCGAACTGGTGTGGCCCGATGATTAGGTTGGTGCTTGGTTCTTGGGGGCTTGAATTGAGTCCACGATCCTACACCATGGCGGTTCACACCGCACACTCGCCAATCGGGCGTTTCGCACACTGCCCATACGATGACTGGGCGCTGCGGTTGGTGATCCTTCTGGCAACCAGAAGTCTTGCACTCATCACTGTCTAGCTGACTAGCCCCCAATTTCTCCCAAACGGGTTCCAGCGGGAGGATTTCAGGCGGTGTTCAATTGATCCTAAGTCGAATTCGGGGGGTTTAGGCAGCCCAAAATATGCACAGCCCCAATGTGATTCCTTCTGACGAAGAGGTGGGTATGTGGAATGGGGCACCTGCTTACGGTTGCCTCGAAAACCAGTCACCGCATCGCTGGCACCGGTGTGACAATTGAGCGTCGATTCGGCCATTGCGGACGGAATAGGTAAGCCGATCGCTAATAACAGATATGGCTCATGTAATGTCATTTAATGCTGTGTGATGACTGTTGGACAAGCGAGACCCGAGCCGGCGGGTTTGGCCCCATAAGCAGTTAGGCTGTGCATCGCGAAAGCCTTGAATGCGTCCCGAGGCCATGGAACTGGAAATCATCATTTCTTGACGCCTGAAGTCCTTGGCGACCATTCGCCCTACCCGTATCCTCTGCATTCAAGCGCCGAAAAGTCCCCAGTCGCCGTGCCTCTCAACCTACGCATCGGCAACGATCGTGTGAAACAGAAGTAGAATAATTCCAAGACCAAATGACGTCGAATCCCCAATTTGATTCAAGCCGTACTCAATTCAACCTGCACGTGTATTAACCGTTGTGAGCATGAAGACACTTCTCAATCTCCTTCGCAGCCGCAAGCAGGTGGCTGTCATGATACTTCCGCGCAACAATCTGCAAATTGATCGGCGCCCCCTCGAAGTCTCCCGCAGCCCATAGCTCCCGCACGTGCGCATCCTCCTTGCCCAGAGCTTCACCGGGTGCGTACTGCTGCTCCTCACCCTTCGGCAAGGCTTTCACCGGCGTCGGGACAACCACACCAGGGCAGTCCACGTAGTTCCAGAACGCAGTGTAGTCCCAGTACAGGGCGGTGTCATGCGCGGATGCAGGACCGACGAACACGGGGCAGATCACCACGTCGACGTCTTGCTCCGTCCAGTGCTTCGCGAACTCGATTCGGAAGTCGTCGCGCTCAAAGCGCATGTCGTACATCTGCTGGAAGGTGTAAGGAGGACCCTCGGCGTCCTGGATGGTCCATTGGGTCAGCTTCTCCATCGGTTCTCCCGCCTTCGCCAGACCGGCCTTGAGGCTGGCGCCGCCGTCGGGTGTGTAGGCTTTGCGGATATTCCTTATCGCATCTGCGGCACGGTATGGTGTGAAAGACTTGACCTGGAAGGAAGGTGAGTTGGCAAGCCTATCTTTTGCCCATTCGAGTGCGCGAACAACAGGCGGCTGCGGCTGAATCACACCATCGTTCATCACGAATCCGACCTTCAGTGCTGGTGATGATGGCAATGGGGTGCTGAGTCCGGTCCATGGCAAAGGGACCAGGCTCGGCTCTCGCAAGAATGGCTTCTCGCCGAGCACACCGGACATGAACAAGTCCAGGTCCCGCAGCGACACGCCCATGGGCCCACAGGTCGCCAGGATGGTCAACTCCGCCGGGTTCCCGCTGTGCAGCATCCCCATCATCGGGAGATAGTGGCTGGTCGGCTTGAAGCCATATATACCACAGAACCCAGCCGGGCCGCGGATGCTGCCCCCAATGTCCGACCCGACGCCCAGGACGGAGCCCCGGAGGGCGATCAGCGCACCCTCGCCCCCGCTCGAGCCGCCCGCCGAGAGGTCGATGTTGTGGGGGTTGAGCGTGCGCCCGTAGGGGCTGACCGTCTCGAGGTGCATGATGTGCTGGGGCTGGTTGGTCTTGCAGTAGAAGACGGCGCCCAGCCCGCGCAGGATGGCCACGACGTGGCTGTCCTCGTCGTCAATCTGGCGGCTGGCGATGTAACCGTCAGCGGACCAGTGGCCCGCCATCTGGACGTGCTCTTTGATGGAGATCGGCACGCCGTGGAGCGGGCCGACGGGCCTGCCGGTCGACGCGAGGTGGTCGTCCAGCGCCGTTGCCTGGGCCAGAGCCTCGTCCATGAACCATTCTGTCAGGCAGCATGTAAGCTGATGGGCGATGATGGCTCGCTTGGCAAAGGCGGTGGCGACAGCCACTGCCGTGAGCTTGCGTTCTCTAACCGCCTGGGCGAGTGCGGTTGCATCGTAGCCCTCGGTGATTTCCAATTCGTCAGGGGTCAGAAGCCCGCAGTCACGCGGAATACTGGTCACATTCCTGGGCGGGTTCTTGAGTACCGCCGGCGGCAGGAGGAGCTCCTTGGGGACCTTGTCCGCGAACTGTTGCTGCACGATGCGGTCCCGAAGCTCCTCATATTCCGGCGTGCCTTTGGCAACGGGCACCGTTTGAATGATTGGGAAGGCTTTGGACATGGCTGAATTTTGCGTTTTGGGTATGTGGCAGGCTGTCAGATGGAGGGAGTGAGTGTGTGTCCTGGAGCGGAATGAGCTTCGCGAAAGGGTGTAGGATGTCAGCCAGACGGGACTAGGTTCACGCTAGGAATAATATGAGCCGCCAACTCTTGCCCGGCGGGGGGCCAGTGGCTTAGATGTGTCAACATCCGACGGGCGCCCGTAGCTTGGAGGTGTCAATAGCCGGCGGGGTATCACCGTTGTGACGCATCGTGCATACAGAAATGGGCGCGTGATAAGGGACGGGCGAATTGCCCGTGGGCTACCGGGGAATTTCTACGCCACGGCGGCCTGCCTTCCCACCCACTGCCTGAGACACGATAAGAATGATACATATGGCAACGCTGATTGAACACATGTGACAAATGAATTGACCGGCACCGATAATTGATCAATATTAGTCTGATTCTGGCATATTTCAACGGCCTCATTACACGACTGTAGCACGGCCATTTGCCGAGAATCCCGACGTCGTACATGAGAGACATGAGGTAATCATAGCGCTTCACTCATCACGCCGAGTGTCATGAAAGCAGATCTCATTCCATGGAACTAAGAGTGCGTATAACAGTCAGCCAAACACGTCCAAGCCATGGCGGCCCATTCGTCCGGCGTACCTGATGAGCGTATAGCCCTGTGATAGTGGTTCCATTGGTGGCTTCCAAACTTCTTGTGATTACCTTGCCCGTCGATTGCGCAGTCATTGCATCGAAGTCTTTGTTGGTCAGCCGGAAGGATCGGCCTCGGTTCGTCTCGATCTGTCAGAGGTAAGGATACAATGTCGTCAGCTGATACTCAGTTCTAGAACACATCATATTGTCTGGAGCGGAAAACGGACCTTCATATCTACCACGATCGTCTGATATCCTACTTTGTCTTCGTTTCCATCCGATGTGAAGAGTGAAATTTCGATGGAGGCAACCAGCTCACCACCAGGTCCGTCAATGTCGAATTCGTAGTCGCCATAACACGAGCGCCCAGGGCATTTGTGGCGACCAATAGAGTAACAGCTGTCCGGGACGTAGTCATCGTTGTATCTGAAATCAATGCCATACAGCTCATGGCTGAAATGAAATCTGATTGCGACAAGATTTCTCAGGTAGATGCCTTTGGGCCCACCGAACTGAGTCCAAATTAGCGGTCGAAATCCTCTAGTAAAATGTCGTCCTCGTGGGAAGGAATGTGGATTCAGGTCGGCAGATAACGGTGGGAAACCAGGAAACCAGAGTCCAGAATGTTGCCGCAGGCTGTTTGAGCCGTAGTTACCGGTGTGTCTTGCGATGATGCTTCGAGGGAGTGCCAGATATGGAGATGGGGAAACCGCAAGGGCGACTATTTTGCACGCCTGGAGACGTGTTAGTGGAACAATCATATAAACTTTAATAGAAAAGCTGACATCTAATCCGACCCCTAAGGCGGATATAGGGACTTGTGATACCAAGCAGTTCATCTTTGGCAGGTCGTCTGCAGGCCCGAACCATCTTGAACAATCGCTCCTGCCGTCAGTAATGAATTGAACACATTGAATTCCTCGAGGCCCAATTGCGAGCCTAATTCCGGTCAACGTGTTCGAATCGAGCTCGAAAATCTGCTCTATGGGGGCCCGATATCCGACTTGAACAGCCTCCCCGTTTCCAGACTCAAGTCTAAGGCCTGAAAGGTAGGACTGCTCGCCGACCTGAACAAACGATAGCCCGATCTTTCTGCGTTCCTCATCTGATTGTAGCAGTACTCGTTGTCTGTGAAGTATCCGACAGCCACGCACGAAATTCTTGTGTGGTTGCTCGGGGGTTGGGCTGCAGATGTCAGCTTGTGCGGTTATCCATTGAGCGTTTCCGCCTTCCGTTGCGTCCTTGAAGGGAGGGAGTCGATCCAAGGGATTTAGAGAGAGGATAGTTTTGAGTCGCAGTGCCAGTTCCCACACTCGTCGTCTGTTCCGTATTCCACCCGACTGGGACAAATGGGTATCGGAAGTCCGTTTGTACAGAAAGTGCCAGTCAAGTGCGTGGCCAAACAGTTGATGTGACTCAAAAATCCAGGATCGCTCAGCCGCATCTTCTAGAAACCTCGTCGCCCAGAACTGCTGACTGTTGAATATGTCGCCGAGACCGCGTAAGGCCAGGCGCCCATTGAAGAAGTCCGCGGTGGACAAATGTGTTGCAATCGCAGCGCGAAGCTCCTGAGGCAGCCGGGAAAATAGGTCGGTTGTTGCATTTGGTAAGAAGTAGGGCATACGCCTCATCGGTGGCGGTTTTGGTTGTTCTAGAAGAATCGTGCGGAGCTCCTTTACGTGATAGGGGTCGCTGGTCACTGTTAATACGCGCAGAGTTGGCTCGGTCCACTCATCATCACCAGAATCATCATCGGAATCTTTCTGTCGCTTTGGCGGGAGCTCGCATTGTTTTTCCCACTCTCTTCTGGCTTCAGAGTCACCGGGTTCATAGGCCACGAGATCTTCCATGCTGTATACCCCGGGCTCCTCAATGACATCCCACGGGAGGTAGGGCTTTTTCTGCCAATAATGAAGTCCCCCGTAGTCGTGTCCCCAGTTGATGCACTTTGTTGCAAGAGGCATCGGCATCGACAAGCAGACTTCGTACAGTCGGCCCAACGGCACAGGCTCGGGGTGGAAGGCTCTCTCCAACACAGACCAGCAACTTTCGTGAAACAAAAAGCCATAAAGACCATTTTCGAATTGGGTTCCGACGCCGAATTCCTGAATAGGTCTCCTATTGTAGTCACCGTCGTCCCAATGGGCACTTGCGTCAGGAGGTGCGAAGAAGGAGCCACTTCTCGCGTAGAGAAAAAGATTCACGCCTGTGAGCGTGACATGTCCTCCCAAGGAAGAGATGACTGTCATGAGTGTAAGACAACCTGCCACTAGTAATTAGATACGCGAACTTGCCTGCTCTGAACTCGCTCAGCCAAAAAACGGAGGTGTTCCTGTGAAGCGCAGGCCGGATCGTGAGACCGCATAGATTACAGGAATATGTGACCGGACTCATGATGTGAGCACTCGTCCAAAGAATCAGTTCAAAGATGTCTCTCCATGGTCGTCAATCTAGAAGTTGAAAATTGTCTGTCGAGGGAGCTCTTATTGCAGCCTGGAAAGGGATGCAAGGCGATTCGGACGCGACCCCACTAAGAGCTCGAGTTGCCGAACATTGCCTGTAGGTCAAGCTAGCACCAAGGCTATACCACGTTGGAACTGTGATTAGGCGTCTATGGGTTAATGTGAATTAGCTCAAAACGATTACGAGCTTTTCGAGCTCAAGTAGACGTTCTATGTCTTGAGACGAGAGAAATCATAAATGAAGTAATCGTTGCCTTATGGTGGACCAAGAGCAAAAACACGTATACATTCCGTATCCTTGTTGACCCTGTCGTTTTGTGATTATTCTACAACGTGAAATTACCAACTTCCCTCTACCGCGCCATCCCAAACCTGTGCTACATCCGCCCCTGCGATGCTGAAGAGCTCATCGGGGCGTGGACATTCGCTTTGTCAGCGGACAAACGCCCAACCATGCTATCAGTTGCCCGAGATCCTACGGGACCGGTTCCAAACACAGACAGGACGAAGGTTCAGCGAGGAGCCTACGTCGTCCAGGACAGCCCTGACCACCAGCTCACACTTTTGAGTTGCGGCTGTAACCTGCACTATGCTGTCGCTGCAGGAAAGTCTCTCGGGGCACAGGGGATAGCCACTCGGATCGTGAGCGCCCCAAGTCTCGATCTATTTGAGACCCAGGATGATGACTACAAGAACACCGTCTTCCCACAAAGTGGACGGCCTATTGTCAGCGTCGAAGAGTATGTAGCGACCCCCTGGGCGAGATATGTCACGGCGAGCATAGGCATGACGACGTATGGGTATTCTGCGTCAGACCGCAGTAACTATGACCGGTTCGGCCTCGATGCAAAAGGGATTGAAACGAAGGCCAAACAGTACTTGGCCCTCCTAAACGGTCGTTCGGCAAGGGAATATGGTTGGAAACAACTATAGAGCAGATACATGATGAACTGGACAGGTGTGATACACTTAACGTGCTGACTAAAAAATTGAATCAGATGTTAGACAGTCCTTACTCTTCCTTCTGAATAGAGAAATCATTGTGACGCATAATGGTAATCACAAAACAGAAGATAAATGAGTGACCACCTGCGGTAAGTGAGATAAACGACGCTCTTGGTCAATCTCAACAGTGAACCTGCAGTATCTGTGGCATCCGAATATTTCATTACATGGGAGTCAGGTCCGATTCAACATTCGGCCGTAAGATGGAACATCATACAAGGCTGGGATGCCTCAATGTTTGAAAGGAGTCTTGGGACTGAGCTCAAGCAACATCATAAGTTGTCGTACAAAGGAATGGTATCGCTACTATTGTAATTCCATATGTACAGATAGAAAGGTAGCTTCGCCATTATCATCTTCCCTCGGTTCGATGTGCCTTAAGAGGTGTCCTTGCCCCAGACCTTGCAGCGGGCTCGCCGACGGGCTTGGAACAGACTCCCACATAACAAAGTGCTGGAACGACCGTCTCGCTGTGTAAAATCTCGTCTCAACGACAGAAGCGAAAGATTGTGACATCAATTAGGTCACCGGCATACCGCCAGGAAGCTCAGTGAGCCCTTGATTCACAAAGTTAGTAATGACAGAACCCAATGGGTATGTGCACCATAGAGTCATGACACTTACATCCTTCAACGTCCTCGTTGACTGTGGACTTGATCATGCATTTGTTGGCCTGCTCAGCAGTCTGTGTCTTCATGCCCTGGCACGCGTCACCAGCACACCTGATGTCAAGCGCGTGCTGCAGGGCATCCCCCTTCCACCCGAAGAGGTAGTCGCCGTGCCAGGAATAGCCAGTCCTGTGGGGTTGATCAGCATTCTTCTCAAATGACACTATGACACGCAAGATATGATCAGGCTTACTTGTCTCCCATGCTGTAGACAAAAGGTTGGGACCCATCTGCAGGCCAGTCGGCCTTGTTGTTGAACGGCCGCGTGTCCCACATCACCTCGTACATGACCTGTGGCAGCTTGACTGGGTGGCTGGCCGGGCATGGGCCAGACGACTCGAAGGTCCCGCTGCTGGGGTACGCCACGTGGGACTTGTGGTCGGGGCTGTCGACGTTCTTTCCGTCCCAACAGCTACGCACGTTCCATGTCAGAAGGCTCGTCATCGGGAAGACGAGTCAAGAAGAGTCCAATACGTACGTCGGGAAAGTGATCGTTGCGCGAATCCCACCGCCGCAGGTGCCGCTTGGCAGCGCGAAGGTGTCTGACCCCGTGCAGGGCGCACCTCCGAAGGGGTTCTGCTGGATGTTGGCCTCGCATCGGTGGCACAGCTGCCTCTGGCCGCCTTGACCGGAGCGCAACTCCGGGTCTCCGACGATCATGCGGAAGCCCTGCGTTATTGCGTCAGCCGTCGGGGAAGTGAGAGTCTCGATGTGGCTAGTGAATTGGACGTACAGGCTTGAAGGCAGTGGTTTTGGTCTTCCCGTCATAGGGAGAGTTGTAGTACACAGTCAAACCACCATTCTTGCCTCGCAAGCCGAGGTTGGTCAGCTGCGGGACCCGCTTGAAGGTGCCGTTGCGAGCTCGGAAGTAGAGACTCGCGGTCCAGTAGTTGGAGAAGTCGTCGGCGTAGGTGCAGGAGGTGCATGTGGACAGGGCACTGGGGTCGTAGGTCCCCGGCGTCATAGAGGCATTGAACGAGTTACCCCCTGCGATCTGGTGGACGTGGGCAGAGGGCACAGAGCCTGGCTGCACCAGAGGGTCGAGACGCTCGACGGTGAGCTGGGAGCACTCGAATCGCATGAGGGCGGCACTGTATTGGCGTTCCTCGACCGCAGGGGCTGCCAAGGCCCCTGGGATGGATAGTACTGCGGCGAGAGCCTTGAAGTACATGTTGGTGCGCGATCGCTGTCGCAAGATTATTGTAAAAATGACTGGCTGAATTTTGATGAGAATTGACCAAATACTAGAAGAACACGGTCCCGAGAACTTCTGTGGCACGAAATCCTGGGGTCGCTAGGTCATTTATATCTGTTCCTGCCGCTCAGCGGACTCAGTATCATTCTCGCATGAATCGACTGCCGAGAGCGTCCTTATCTGCAATTTGTCTGTAAGCAACATGTCAGTTGCCACAGTTCATATAAGTGAACATGTGCTTTGGCACTTCAAGTTGGTTGGACATCCGGCTCCCAGGTTATTGAGTGCCCATCGAGCTATCGGCACAGCTTGCATGCTGCTGGACCAAAGCCCCGGCAGTTGGAAAGCAATTTCCCGAACCGGAATACGTCAAGATTTGTACTATATACCATTGGCCCACAGCAAATAACTTCCGTGAGCGATAGATCATGCATGATTGGTACTCCCAGCGTCAACGATCGGCATGGGCGGGTCTTTTGCAGGTGTATTCACCCATTTTTACCAGATTACTACGGGTTAAAGACGCCACCTTATTGGACAAAATCGAACAGGGCCGGAAACTCATATTGTCTCACCAGAGAACGAAGGATACGACTTTGCCGGTGAAAGAGGCAGGTCATTTTGATTGGGACTTGCGCCCTTGAGCTCGGGGGGTTGCAACGTGTTGTCATTCTCTAGGTACGGATTAAACGCTTCCGTTTCTAAGCACCGCTCGTCGAATTGGGATGGGTTCCGGCTTGAAAGAGTCTAATTTTGGCATTTCCCGTGAGAGAGATTCCTTAAGCAGCCTCGCCCCCAACTCTCTGCACGGGATGACAATGTTCCAAGTCATTTTGAGTGTATCATCCAAAACTCTCATTCTTGATCACGTTCAGCCCGGGCTGTGCCAGCAGGCTCATTCATCTACCATGCAATAACATTTCTCCCATGTTAACTCCGGACAGAATATCAAGGGAGGAGAATCAGAAGGCGCGACGGCGGTATGCGACCCGGCCAGACTGCTGCGAAACATGGCCCAGGGCCGGCGAGGCTCTGACCAAACCTTGGTCTTGTTTTGACTGTGCTCAACCAACGCCGGCTATTCGATATTCACATGTCGAATTATTGTGCTCAATTCCATGGTCATCTTCCAAGTATTGAGCAAGATAACACCCTTGTTGGTAGAAACGTCTTCCCAGTTGAAATCAAAGCAAAAGTAAGACACTCTAGCGCGTGGATAGAATTTTGACCACGGCTTTAGACCCTCTAGAAAAGATCGCCTTCCTTCACGAGTATGTCCTTGTTGACTTCATCTAGCCCTCTCAAGCCTGCCAGGTGCATGTTCATCATCAAATCACCACACATGGCTCGCAAGACGTGTTTTACTCCCTCCTCCCCTCCGATCGCCAGACCGTAGGCATACGGCCGTCCGACGAGCACACACTTGGCCCCCAGTGCCACAGCCTTGATAATATCGGCACCGCATCGAATCCCGCTGTCGAAGAAAACATCAAGCTCGTCACCAACAGCCTCTGAGATGCGAGGCAGCATTCCCAAGCTGCTCACGCCGCCGTCCTGCTGCCGCCCGCCGTGATTACTGACCACAATCCCTTGGACGCCGACCTCGACACACCTCCGCGCGTCCGCCACGCTCTGGATGCCCTTGAGCACGATCGGCCCGTCCCAGTGCTTCTTCAAGAACTCGACGTCGTCCCATGAGTGCGAATGGCCGGGGAACACGATCTTTGCCCACTCCTGCGCAGCCTCGCCCAGGTTCCGCCCCGTCGTTGCCTCGCTCTCGCTCCGTCGCGCCTCCTCGATGTCGTAGCCGTGCTCCGCCTTGAACTTCTTCTGGAAGATGGGGTCGGTCAGGCCGATCTCCACGCCGATGCGGTCTGGGTGGATGAAAGGATTGTACCCGTTGTCCATGTCGCTTGGCCTCCAGCCGAGCACGTAGGTATCTAGCGTGACGAATAGCGCCGTGTACCCGGCATTTTTTGCCCGCGACAGCAGCGAGATGGTGATGTCATCGTGCTCGCGTGACGGCCAATACAGCTGGTACCACCGCGGCGTCTTGCTCTGTCGCCGGCCTTCCCCGCCCCCATGACGCTGACTGTCAGTCGCATACGAGACCTCCTCGATGCTGGTGCTCGACGCCGTGCTCAGCGTGTACGGCACCCCAACAGCGTCGCTCGCCCGCGCTGCCGCGACCTCGCCCTCGGCGTGGAAGATCCTCTGCACGCCAATCGGCGCGATGGCGACGGGGAACGGCAGCTCCTGGCCCAGGACCGTCGCGCTGGTGTCGGCGAAGGCCTCTGCGCCTGTCGCCGGGTCCGTCCTGCTGGGCACCAGGCGCCTGGGCACGATGGACCAGCGGTCGAATGCTGCGAGGTTCCTGCGGTAGGTGGACCCGGCGCCGCAGTTGCCGTGGATGTAGCCCCAGGAGTTGGCAGAGAGCACGGCCTTGGCCTGGGGCTCCCATTCTGAGGACTGGAAGGTGAAGGGCGGCTTGGTGGAGTGCAGGCCGGCCTGGTAGACGGATTGCTCCAGGGCGACGGCGTCTGGGTTGCTGGACGGGGCCATTATGGGCTCTGAACAAGCGAAGGAAAATAGTGATGACCAGAATGCGCTGGATTCTGCTCGTTGATTATGGATGACGTCTGATATTTTGAAGACTGCCTTGATGGCTTTGGAAGGAGGGTGGGGCGTGCGTCAGTTAGCGAGACTGGAAGGCAGTCGGTCTGTAGACTCTCGCTGGAGCAGGACAGCGGTAGTGGGATCAAGGTTAAAGTTTTCTGTTCTTTATGTGATGTACAAATATGCTGAGTGAGAATACTCGCTTCTGTAGTCGGGCATTTATTTTGGTCAAAGACTCTTTTATACGATTGTGAACGACAGGTAGTTGAACGGACCTCGGGACAGTCGGCATTGAAGCAGTGACTTCACAGCGGACCACAAGTGACGTCGGAACTGAATACATCTTACGAATTCACTAACCACACCTCAAACTTGAATTCCCCTGTGATCCAATCATGGAGATAAAGTGTTGCACTACAGAGGATAATGGATGCACCCACACCTCTGAGTATGTCACATAGTGTCTTCCTGGTCACAACATGAAGCCACCTGAACGTTGCCTTTCGGACACACCATGGTCAGGCTACAGACGCCCCACTTCTCAAAACGCCACCTTCACACCAGCCCGACACCCCTCAGGCAGAGATCTGTAGGAGGGTTCGATGCGGAATACAATTGGGTGATGTCACAGTCCTCTTTCCTCCGTTCTCGATGGCCTTATCAAGAGCTCTGATTGCATCGTCGGATCCAAGGCTGGACCATGTGAATTGTGAGAATCATGGGCAGTGCGAAGGCTGTTTTGGGCTGATTGTACTTACAAAAACCCTGTTCCACTGGGGATCATAGAAATGGTACAAGTTTGATCTTTCCCAAGTTAGCAATGCACACATGGAAGCGAATCGGTCCCGTCGTGGTGTGACAGAAGTCGTCAACCTCAAAGGTGAAAATGATACATACACTTTGCGAGCCGAATTTTCCATCCCTCTCGTTTTATAAACCAGAGCCCAGGGCTGCCAGCAATCTTATCGCGGAGAGTGCTGCAATCATGTACGCCTGGAGGCCGCCCATCCCTGAGACTCAGATAATTGGTTTCCTCACAGGTGGATTGAGGACCGTCCAATTTCTGGAAAGGTACGTCGCTGTCCCACGGCCATGTTGGGCCGGACGCAATTTCCGCCCGCTCGAAGGGTAGAGTCAACGCCCCGTCAGCTTGGGCTGGACTGATGTTTGAGGGCAGTGCCTTCAATTGCACTGCCCAGATCAACGTGGCCAAGAAAGAGATGCGCATTGTGGAATTCAGGTGTTTTATGCGTCTGAGATGAGCAGAATGGTCATCAATGTCTCACTCGGTAGGGGGGATGATAAAGGACCTTGGGATTTTGTAACACGCCGTGGTTCATAGGAATGATTAAGTAGTCGTCAAGCATTGATGCCACTGATTCGAGCTGATGTCTATGACTTAATTATACGCACACCACTTTTCCCTAAATGGTAGAGTTGATGCTTAGGACGCCGAAGCTGAACCGACGGATTAGATTCTAAGCAGTGTCCCCTCCTCGCGCCATGTCAACACCACACACACCACTACCGGCACTCTTTCGGCAATCCACGGTCGCCTCATGGTCGGCGTTGTCCTCCTGTGGTTAATAAAAGCACAGCATTGGACTGTTCACGTTCTCAAACATTTGGTTCCCCATTCAGCACACAAACCAACACACATCCCATTCTTCACTCCCTCCCACCCACCCATTAGGCCCATCCATTCTTGGCCCAGCGCCACCAAAGACCGCAGGTTTGAAAAGCGAAAGATCAGTACCGCTCAAGATGAACATATCCGCAAGAAAAGTGTTCTAGGAGCTCTCTCAGCACTCTAAATTAGATGTAGACACCGCCTACAATATATGAGAGTCCTCAGATACATCCAAATGCGACCCTTGAAAGATGCGGACTCAACTGCTCAAGAAAAGTTGAGTTGGTGACATGTGGAGACCACTAATAGGACCTATTGGACTGCTCGGTCATGAGCGACCCGCATGCGCTAGTTTTCTAATCAACGGTGCTACCCTAAATGTTTGGCATTAGCACCTATGCAGATGCTGTCACCTTCAGACTTGTTCTCATCACACATTTGCTAACACGCTTCTTAACAAGGCTCATACCACTTTCACTTGTGGTCCGCAGGAACATGCTGGCAGATGGAGGCAACCCCTGAGAAGAGCGGCAGGTGCGGGAGCACAACGCCGCTTGGCACAGCAACTACAGGCTCGTTCATCCAGCCAAGCCGTGGACCTAAGCTATGCAACGTTAGCGTGACCCTTCTGTGGCTGCGCGACGTGTCCCGTGGGCGTCCGTTGAACCCAGCATTCGTGAGTAGTTGCCCATACATGGCTGGCCACGCATGGTGGGATGGATCGATCTCGACTTCGCCTGCATACTGCCGGGCTCACAACTAGCACGGCGAGGCAGATTCCGACAGTTTAATGCAACCAGTTCCTGCTTACTTGCAGAATCTGAGAGATTTTTCTACTTCAGGTTGCAGACTGGCAGAGCGACCGTCAAATGATCTGCTGCTGCAGGTATTAGCTCTGACTGAAGGTATTTGTCAAGATGGCGGCCAGGCTCTGTCACATGGAATATAACATTCTACCCGAACCCACATTCGGCTTCCCATGGTTTACTTGTTGTATACAGTCAACGAGAGACAGTGGGGTATCGTGTCATGTCGATCGGTGCAGGACTCTTGATCTCCACTGTGTTATTCTCGTCATCTCAGAGCTTAACTTTCGCTCCAAGCAGGAATCTCACATATTGACGCTGTCTCTCAAAGCTACGCCGATAATGGATGTTCAAATCCCAGAAACGCCACGCAATGTCATCGAGAGACTCAGACTTGAGCACAGTCCTGATGGGCATTCCAAAGTGTCCTCCATCATCAAAAACGCTCTCGAGATGTAAGTGTCCTTGAGACTCGTTCATTCTCAATTAATAGCTCTCTCAATTCTAGAATGGTGTTCTCCGAGCATACTGATGTCAACTTCGATCGCAGAATCTCAACTGAGCTCTATGACACGTCGACCCACTTCTTGCTGGAGTTTCTCCAGAATGCCGACGACAATGATTACGACCCAGCCGTGGTTCCTAGGTTACAGTTCACTTACGCCTCCGGCTTTCTCAGAGTAGATTGCAACGAAGTCGGCTTCAACGCAAGCAACGTGGAGGCGATCTGCAACATTCGTAGCAGCACGAAAAGCGGCCAAGATCACGTCGGACGTACCGGTGAGAAGGGCATCGGCTTCAAAAGCGTGTTCAAAGTCGCCGACGTGGTCTGGATCCGCTCTGGTGAGTTTGCTTTTAAGTTCGACAAAGCTCGGCCTTTTGGTATTATCGCTCCGGTGTGGGAAGAGTTTCCACAATCTGTCCTGGAGAATCACACGTCGTTTCTGCTCCAATTGAATGACAGGTGCGACAAGGTCGAGCTCATCACCACCCTTCTCAACCTTGACCAGACCTGTCTCCTGTTCACCAGGCGCCTCAGGCACATTACGGTCAGGGTCACCCAAGACAATCAGACGGAAACTAAGGAGATGAGACGACGTGTTGAGACTGATGCCAACGGTCAGATTACTGTACTTGATGTTGGTGATCAGGTCTTTACGTACATCATCACCAGGAGGCAGGTTGAGAATCTCCCGCATGAGCCCAAGCGACTTGGTTTGAAGACTTCAGAACTTGTCCTGGCTTTTCCCGCCCTGGAAGATGCAACAAATGCAACGTGGAGGATCCAAAATGTGCACAATGTGCTACCAATTGGCAAATACGGTTTAAAGGTTTGATTAAAGTACACCTCACTCGTGCTCAGGATAGCGTGTTCTGACTGTCACAGTTTATCGTGCAAGGAGACTTCCTACTGACGGCGAACCGGAGACACATCGATGCTTCATCACCGTGGAATATCTGTCTCCGAGACGGTCTAGTGGACGCGTTCATTTCAAGCGTAGAGCGTCTCAACTGCGATTCCATGAGATTCTCTTGGCCTGCTTTCATCCCTTCAGAGCAGACTAGTCCATTCTTCGAGCCATTGAGGGATGCAATACTCGAGAAACTTGCCAATATGCCTGTTACTGAGGCAATTCCGGTACACTTGTTCCCCCCTACAAACTCTGGCGTGTCGCGGGTCGCTTCAACGACCGCAGCGACAAACCTCTCACTTTATGGGAGGACACGAAAGACATATACCTGTCGCCAAAGTATCCTGGCCACGTTCTTAGCGAACTATACAGTCTTGGTGTCGACGACCTAACTGATGAGCGGTTCCTTGACGATTTGGACGAAATGATCTCGGGAGATCAGTCGCCTTTCCGTGCGCAATCTGAGGACTGGCACTCCGACCTAGCGCGAGCATTGATACCTCTGACAGATGACGAGGACCTGGAGTTTACCATTCGCAGGCTTCCAATCATACCGCTAATGAATGGAAAATGGGCAACGGCCAATTCTGGGCCACACATACTTCCAGGCGATTCAGACTTGGGCGACTTACTGGTCTTGAATTCGGTCCGCATCATCCATCCTGCAGCGACTACAGACGCAAACCGTGGGCATCTATGGTCTTCCCTTGATATCCAGAATATCAGCAGGCAAGACGTCTGCCAGTACATTGTGGACGCCCACTCGCAGCCGGGATCACACCCTAGCATTATGGGGTGGACAAGATCGCATCTCATAGCTCATGCGAGGTTTCTTTTCTTGTCGAACTGGAGACCATCCAAGCCGTTGGATCTTTGGGTCCAAAGCACAGCCGGCGTTTACGATGGATCCTCTCATGCCTACCTTTTCGATACCTCTTACGAAGACGAAGCAGTAGCCAGAGTCGTTCGCCAAACACAAGAGTTCGGGGCATTCTTTGTTCTACACGAAGATTACCGTACTATCACCGAGACTGAAGATGGTTCAAACTCTACAAGTTCTAGTGAAATTTCTTTTCTTATATATTTAATGCTTTAATTAAGCTTTTTTTATTTTTAAGAATTTTTAAAATATTTATTTTTTCCCTTTCTTTAATTCTTTTTTATTCTTATCTTCCCTTTTTATTGCATTAAAGCTCCTCCTTAAGTTATCCTTAAGAGAGTTTAGTAAAACCTATCCCCCATTATTTGGGTGGCTTGTTTTTAATATAAAATTTATTGCCTTTATTTACTGCTATATACCTTATATATATTATAACCTCTTAATTTAAGGGTATTTTCTAGCCTTAAAGCAATATATAAAAAGAAAGCAAATCTTTTAAACTTTTATATTAATAATACTTATATTAAAAAGCAATTATTTCTTTATTATTATTAAAAGGTAAGATTTATAATATTTAAAAAAAAGTATATACTTTTTAAATAGTAAAGAATTAATTTATAGCTAATTAATATAGGTAAATTATTAATAAATATAATTATGCTTAAAAACTTTAATAAAATAATATTTATTTTTATTTTTATTAATATTATAAAAATTAAAAAACTTAAATTAATTACTTTAATACTTATTAAGCTATAAAAAAAGGTTTTTTTAATCCTTAAAGCATTTTAAAAAATATAAATTACTTTTATTAATTATAACTTATAAAAATACTTAATTATAACTTAATAACTATTTTTTAAAAAGGTTTAAAAAAGATATAATAAGAAAAATTAATAATTAATAATGCTTTTATAAGAAAATTAAGTTTTTAAAGATAAATTAATAATTATAATACCTTAAAAGAGAAGAAAAGTTAAAATAAGCTTAAATTTTATATTTATTAAAATTAAATATATATATAGGGCGTAAATTAACATTAATATAATTAAAGATAACTTAATAAAAATAAATACTTTTAAAGATACTATAAATATAAAGAAATGCATTATTATAGGTAGTAATGATAATTTAAAGTAACTTTAATTGAAGGGGTAGTGTAGCGAGGAGGACCGTTTTGGTAGGCCGAATCAGGGGGTGGGCCGAATGTGCAGACCCTGACTTAGTGGCTGGTAGCAATATTTTGGTAGACTCTGCTTCTGGGACCTTGCTTTGTTCGCTGATGCTGATGTCCCCAATGGGACACCTGTCCCTTTTTTCAGAGATACTGCAGAACAGTCGCTGTCGCTAGAGCTGTCGCTGGAGCTGTCGATGGAGCTGTCTGTCGAGCGTTGAAATGCGCATCGTGGCTGATGTAGATCCAGTCCCAACCGGTCGACGACGAGCAACGACTCTGCGCTCAATTTGGTATCGCCTCTGTGTTCGTCCGACTTGAAAACTTCTGCCCACTCGTCATCCGAGATTTGAATCTGGCGGGATTCAAAATAGTACCAAGGATCAATTAGAAACTCGAGCCGCGGGCTGGCAAATGGATCATGGATCAGGACCAGGACCATGAGGTCGCTCGTGTCGTCCAGAGAGCGGATTGTACGGTGCCTGGACTGTGTTTGATATACCGGGCAAGTTAGCCAGTGAATTCCATCTGTGAATACGCAGACTGAGTAGTTGAAAAGACCATTTGTCGACTTCAGTCTGTGCCAGCTGCGGACCATTTCGCAAAGAGCAGCGCTGGATGAACTAGGAATACCCAGAAGAGAAACGGAAATGTGTAAAAATCAAGAAACAGGAAGGAGATCTGGATTTTCGAACAAAAGGCCAGGTTCTACGTACTCTTTCAATGTCGGAATACTTCCATGCAAATCTGCCGTCATACTCATCTAGAATCATGCCCACCTCAAAGTGATATGTGGTATCCAGGTTCACGCCGACCCTTAAGGGATGTTCCAGAAATGCGTCTGACAGAAGTCTCCATACTGAACGCGAGAGCTCTTCGCCTCTCAAAGTGAATGGCGACGGCGTACAAAGATCACATACTGAGGCTGGACTATCCTCATTCCGAAACATGGGAAGACCTGCTCGAGATCGAAGGCTGCTGGTCCAAGAGTCTGCCGGTTCGTACAGTGGTCCAAATGTATCTTGAAACATCCGGGAGACCTTCCGCATGTCAGTTAAGTTAACTGATTGGCCAATGACGAATGAGACTCCTACCATGCTTTCGCCGATGTATTCAAGATGGCGATATCCGTCCCGCATGATCACATAATGCGAGAATACAGGAAATGCGTCCGCAGAAACAGCTCCCTTGAAGAAACGAGTACCACCGTCACGCGAATTTGGGTCCCCAAAGTCTTCCATAGGCGTTTCTGGTCCGTAGATCAAGGGGTCCAAGAGGGGGATCTTTCGCGAGATGTTTCGGGCCACTTTATGTGATGATTGAGACATACTTTGCACAGCAATACTTGACATGTTCATCCAGTTTTGGCCCATCCCGTTCGAGATAAAAGGTCTCCGGTGAAATGGCGATCGTAAAGGCGCCACGTTCCCAGAAGGGGAGAAGTGTCTTGTACGGGCCACATCTGGAGAGTTGACGACAACTAATCAGCCTCGTTTGGTATTCTGGAAACTAGTAAGAGCTCCATAAACTCACTGGATGATGTTGGTAAGTAGGAAAACTTGTGTCCCTGACTTGCAAACACTTTGCAGACTCGGTTGTAATCGAGGTCTGTGAGTGCCACGAAGAGCAGTTGTCTTGAGGTTGCATCATTTATCTTGTAATGTCGACTAAATGCATCAAACCATTGCAGAGAAGTCGGTAAGGCGTGCAACATCTCTTCAGCGAAGACAAGACGTAGAGAGCTGCCTTCAACGAGTACAGCAGCTTCTCCAGGTGCTCCATTGACTATCAACTCAGACTCCCCAACGGCGAGTCTGTATGTTCTCGCTATTTCTGTTGCAGCAAAGACGGAAACGTTCTCAATCTGGGCACGAATATCTCTTTTACTGATATGGTCCTCGGGTATCAACCTGCCACAATCAGAACATCAGTAGCTTCATTTCCAGTATGCGTTCTAAAATCTGACACCTGATTAGACCGGGGCAGTGGCTCTTACACAGTGACAAAGACAACTCGGCTTCGCAAGAAGGCTGTTTTCTCCACAAGAAAACTTTGCCGCCCCTTCGGGATGGACCTTTGGATCACCATTTTTGATAGTTTCCGCGATTCCAGTTTGAGTGCCCCCAAAAGGTTTCCCAATGCCGCAACGGTAGTCGGGCTGGTGGTGAGTAGTGGTACTCGCCCTGCGAAGCTGTTGAATTCGCAACTATCGTTGATGAACCAAGACTGATCGTCGGCACAGACCAAACGGTCGGCCTTTTGGGCGTTCAAGGTTTCGATGCGGTCAGATACGGGGAAGATTTTCTTGAATCTGAGCGATTTGACAGTTGCTGCCGCCTGCTTAGGCTCCATGCTTGCCATATGCTTACTGACTGTTTTCAAGCCATCGATGATTTCTCTCGTCGTTTGAGAGGGCCGGACCAAACTCACGCTTCTCACAAGCGTATCAATTTGAAGATTGCGTGGGTTGCAAAGAGACCGAAACAAGTGTTGACAAGTCGGATAATCAGAGACGAGATCAACGCCTCTCTCCATGGCCTCTGGTATGCTTAGCCACGAAGGCGGCTTGGTGTTGTCAGCTGTCGCAATTTTGCTGAGGAGGTACACTGGGTTGTTTTGGTAGAAAGTTGCCCTGGTCCAGTTAACTAGCTGCCAATTCCGACGCGGGAAGGCTGACAATACCTTATTAATCCCATATCAGTCTCGTAGCGTTTCTGAATCTCTGCATAGATTTGCGAGACCCTCTCGTACGATGGCGGTATCCCTGAACTCATCAAGGCGAGTAGACACTTGATATAATACTGAGTGTCAGCTTCAACTGATATTGCCAATGTCTTCAGTCGAGCCTTTACATCAGCACTGTATTCTGCA